ATCTACTTAATGAGAAAAAGGATATTGTAAAGTTGGTAAACTTTACATTGAATCATCTGATTTCTAATCAATTTTCAATTTATTCTGAGAAAGCCCAAAATGAAAATGAAATATTTAAAATATTAACAAATGGAGCAAATAAATTTTCCAAAGTTTGTTGTAATTATAGTGTATTACTTCACAACCTTATTGTACAGGTAAAGATTGGATTTTATGCAAAGTATGAGTATTATATGTTAAAGAACACATGGGGCAGTATTCAGAAAACGACGTAGGGGTTAACCCAGAACCCTTATTCATAAATGAGGGTAAGGGTAACCCGCAGCCGTGGTTTGTTACTCGGGTAATAGAACCCGCAGCTGCGGGTAAGCATCGGGTTCTGGGTTGATTTTCTTTGAATAAGAGTTAACCCTCAGCTCGGTGTTCTATTACCCGGCTAAAAGAACCTGGTAAACTTAACAGGTACCCTTAACTCGTTCTCTGAATACGTCCCATGGGGTTCCAAAAATGCAACCTTTGGTCTATAAATCGAATTAAATTTGGTTACGATATAGCCTATCAAAAATAACAAGATACTTTTAGTTTGAGTAGTTAATTTTTATTTAATAAATCTCTTTATCAAAATTAATGATTTTTATAAGAATTTTAGAAAACAAATTTCTATTAATAATTTTATTAAAAATTATTAAATTTAAGCATATAGAAACATCAAAAGACATTTCAAGAACGGTGGAAAAAATTAAATTTGTCGGTCTTCGTGTAGTTTCCAACAATTTCGGCCCAGCAAAATATCAGCTTACAAATAAGCATAATCTTTCAGTTTATAATAAAGAAATCTATATTGATTATTTTGTTCGAAACGATGAGCCAATTTATGGAATTAATATCGAAAGAATTAATTAGTAAATTTATTTTTTAGAAATTTGTCTAAATTTGTTCTTTCCTTTTTTGATAAAAATGTGTTCTCATCTAAAATTCTTAAATTTATTTCAGTTTCTAATCAAAAACTTAATTTTTAAATTAAAATTATTTTCTGAATAAAAAAATTTAATTGAAACTTAAAAAAGCGAAAAGCTTATCTACTTAATGAGAAAAAGGATATTGTAAAGTTAGTATGCATTTTGGGCTTTCTCAGAATAAATTGAAAATTGATTAGAAATCTATTTATATTAAAGAGCAAGCTTTAGGTGCTAAAGTTGAAATTAAGAGAATTACCTAATTGAGTAATTTACATATTTATTTTAATACAGTCACGGAAAAAAGATAGACTCAAGCATTTGTAAAATAAAAATTTTAAATTTTCTTAACAATTAAAAATAGTTAATTTCAAAATTAAGATCTAAATTATAGAGCATTAAAATGCTTATAAAATAGCATATTCACTTCAACAAAATACTAATTTATTTTTGTTCAACATTGATGTAAACATAATATGTTCATTTTGTGCGCGGAAAAAAAGATAGACTCAAGATAGATTTTTCAACTTTTGTTCGGTCAAAAATTCTAACAAAATTTCTGTAGACATTTCCACCGATACTGAGTGGAAAAGTAAAAAGAACGAAGTCTGTAACTTCTTTCTTCATCTAGATCTCGAGCCTTAAAAATCAACGGAAAATGGGAGTACAGTACTTAAAAATGGAGTACAGTAGTAGTGATTTAGGCAGTAAACGTTTTTTTAAAAAATTTTTTTTCACAAAAAAATAATTTGAGTATCACTAGAAGAATAATTATGCGTAAAGTATATTTTACTTGAATTTTTTTTTAAATGAATAATTATAAAGACAAGTTGACATCGCAATAGAATTAATTGACAAGAGAAGAATGGCTAAACACGTTTCCGGGTCCACTATCACCCACCTATTTTTGGAAATTTTTAAGTTCAAGACTCAAACAACGGTTACTGCCCAAATCACTCACTGCCCAATTAACTCACTGCCTAATTCACTTCTGTCAAAATCACACGGCACCTTTCATAAAGACGAAGTATTAGTTTATTCAATTTATTAGTATTAGTTTATTTGGTTAACCGAAATTTTCACTTCGGCCATCCGAGGATACCCGCGGATGGATATGCCTCAAAAGTTGTAAGGATATAATCCTATACGGATGTCGACCTCAAGAATATACATACGTACCTATTCGGATGCGGAAACAAAAATTTGCATCCATTGCCATGCCTGATCGGATCCAGATGATGAAGAGTATTTATCTGATGATTTAGATGATGAAAATAATGAATAAATTATTTTTACACGTATTTTTTGACGTAAAATAAAATTTTCTGTTAGTCTCGGTCAGTATCGTTTCTCGGTATCGGTCTCGGCTTAAAATGATGGTATCGGTCTCGGTATCGGGTTCTTGAGTATCGGCTAATCTCGGTCTCGGGTTGGCCGATACCAGTATCGTTTTGATCAACTCTAGTTTATTGTCTAGATATCAGAAATTAATTTACGAAAATCATTTTATTCCCGATAATTTTAGATAAGTTTTAAATTAAATATTATAAATTTATTTTAAAAAGTCTTCCATTTTTTATATTTCTTTGATTTAAAATTCCTTTTTAACATGACAACATGTAGGACATTTATCATCAATACAATCATAAACATGTGTTTGATTAGCACATAAAACAAAAAGATTAGCATCTGTTATATTTGTACAATCTTGACCAGTTAAATGATGAACCTTTTAATTTATTATAAAAATTATTTAATTGAGAATTTCATTTACTTGATCAGTAACAAGAATTAAGAATGCCAAAAGAAGGAATACAAAAATAATCTTTGTCATTTTTTAAAATTTATTATGTATTTTTAATTATCTAAATTATTTAAATTAAAAATATATGCACCAGGGGTGGCGATAATCCCAAAAAATACAAGATTTCACGAGATACGAGACTAATGCCACTCATGATGAGTATGCTTTGAAAGATTAATATCGTCGGGAGATTTGGTGTATATCTGTGGATTAGGGCATATCAGGTATTCGGAGGCTATAGTTTCTGAAGTATTAAGGGGGATATCGGAGATCTGGTGTGATATCGAGATTCAAAGGATGACAGATGATTTGGGGTTAATTAAGATTTAAGAAATGTTGGTACTTTATTAATATCCCGCCTCTCACCCCTATTTGAGTCTCAGATTAATTTTCTTTTCCTTTACTATCAATCATTTTCTCCTTCAAACATTACAGGTAATAGGCTAATATTAGGAAGGAAGTAATAGACGGCAACCGCAAAAATGTGTCTAACGGTAAAATTTAACATTTATAAGGAAGGAAATAAAAAGAAAAATTAATATGAGACTCAAATAGGGGTGGGGGGCGGGATATTAATGAAGTACCGAAATGGTTTAATCAAAATTAGATGTTAAATAAAAAACACAAGAGCTAGATTCGAGACTATAACATCTTAGAAACCAAGAGAAGATTAGTTTTCTTTTATTTTATATAAAATATTTAAACTAAAAAATAAACTTTCAAAAATAGATTATGGTTCAAGCGGTAACGGACATGAAACGAAAGATCGAAAACCATTGATAGTCTAAAATTGAGAATACCGATTATTAACTGGCTGTATCCAACACCAATTTTAAAATTTAATTTTTAAATTAATATTATTAATTTATTGGATTTATAATTTATGTATCTAAATTTAGAGAGAGATTTTTAGCTTATCCTTCTATAAATAAAATTTAAATTTCTCTAAATTTAATATTTTTTATTTATTTAATTTCTACTCTTTCTATCCAAAAATAAATTTATTTTTCAAATCTAACGGCTTAAAATGTGGCAAATAAAAAAATTAAATGGAAAAGGTAAATGCTTTAATTTAAAATAAATTTTTAAGCAATAGCGAGTTTTTAATAAATTTTAAAAACGAAAAGTTTGGTGTTGTGGATATCATGTGAAATATGTAGTTTGTATTCTTTATACAAATCGAATAAAATTTAATAAATTTCTATTAATAAATATAATATATTAAAAATGGCTGTTATGATTGAATCGAAATTATAGATATGTGGTAGGTTAGACTGGTTTAAGGTGTTATCTTTTTTATATTTATGTTTCAAAAACTTGATTCAATAAAGTATAATCTGGTATAATTCTCTCTCTATATTTTTAAAGTGTTAAAAATATCTTTAAATAAATTTATAATAACCCAATCAAAATAATGCAAATCAATTTAATTTCCCCAAAATTCATGAAACAACTTTGCACAGAGATTAATTGCTGTTTTACCTCCATGTGCTGGTAACAAATCCTGTTGTAAAATCAAATCATTTTCACCAAAATGTTGCTGCTTCCAGGGAAGTAAAACATTCATCAAAATTTCATTTTTATAGAAATAAGCATTCATTTTGACGTTGACGATAAACACAACAGTGTCTTCACAGTGTCACAAATTCCTCTCCAAATCATCACAGATTGCGGGAAAAGGCTTCTTTGCACGCCAATTAGTCTTTCGGACTAAATGGCGACAATTTTGGGTATTGTGAAAGCGTTGGACGGTAAAAATTGTTAAGTAAGTAAACAACACCCGTTTAGCCGACCAGCTGCGACCAAACTCTTCAACGACATTTTTGGGGCAGTTTTGAGAGGATTATTTGACATCTTTTCTCTGAAAAATTTTTTAAGAAAAAATTTTTTTCTGAACCAAAAATAGTGCTAAATATAATTGTGAACGAATTTTGATGTAATCTCTCCTGAAGTGATTATTTCTGTTGCTAGTTATTAAAATATTTAGTTTGTCCTAAAAATGCCATAATAAAAACATTTTGAATATTTTAAAATCATCATTGTAATATTATTAAATAATTTTTGTGCTGATAATTTTTTTAGCTAAGAAGAAAGTTTTGCATCAAAAATGTTTATCATAAATGGTAAATATTTTAAGTCTTTACATGCTTGCTCATTATTAGATCTACGAAATTTACACAGTTAATTTTTATAAAATAAATGCAAGATATGTATTTATTTAAATGAAAATAAATAAGTTGTTAATTAATTCTTTTAATTTTAGCCTTAAATTCGGACGGTGAAAGCTTCGTATTACAAATAGAAAACTTCATTTCAGAATTGTATTTATTGGAAAGTTGATATTCTGTGGACATTAAATAATCATCATCAATATTCCTTTCAATATTTTGTGCTCTCTCACTTATCAACAGGCTTCCGACAACGAAATCTAATTTAATTTCCTTTACCATTTTTGAAAGATTTTTTGATGTTTCTATATGCTTAAATTAAATATTTTAATTGTTCTAAAAAGTTGATTTCAAAATTTCACAAATAAAAAAACATTTCGGAAATCTTATGGGATGAATGTGGGTAAAATTCAACTTCGTTCCCCTTCCTTTTTTCCTTCCTTAAAGTATTAAAAAATGGTCAGTCAATCTTAAGTTATAGAACTCGTCGAGCTGTGTCGAATGACACCAAAATTAAAAAAATCCGACTTGATTTGACCGAAATACAGACCCCCGAAAATTGAGCAACCATAGGGGCGAAAAACCTTAAGTACTAAAATTTATCCAAATGATAGCTCATTCGAAAGAGTTACTGGTTTATTTTACTGAGTACTCATTGATTTCTATCTATTTTGCATTTATAAAAATTATTAGGCATTACCTGTATAATTAGATTGTAATCTTTTGAGTAAAGGCAATTATAAAAAACATTAGAAAATCTGTCTCCGCCGTTTATCAAAATTTCAACCAACTCATTACTATATGGCTCTATATTACCATGATTAATAATAGTTTTAAATTGATTTGAAATCAAATGATTCAAAGCAAATTTTAAAAAATAAGCATTGTAATTAAATATGCAGGCCTTTTGTGAATGAATAAATAAAGGTATATTTGTCTTGTTTTCATCAAACAATAATTCAATCATTTGCCGATTAAATATAATAGAACCGAATTCGGCATATTCAAAGAGACAGTTGAAAAGTCGTTGAAATAAATAACGAGCTATTTTCATTTCTTTTATATTTTTTGGAATATTTGGCAAATATAATTGTACTGAAATTAAGAGAATAATTTTCAGTTAGTATTTAGAATTTCTCCCAGTGTTGTGACTCCAAGAACACAACAGAAAGTTTATCACGTAGAAAATACAATGAAGCTGTTTGCAGGTGTAGTAATGAGAGTGAAGGGGAGAACTAACTCTTGGCTGGCTTTTATAGTATTCTACTTAAGGGCTTACGCCCATACACAACACCCAGAAGGAATGATTGCGGATTATATTAACCTGTTCCGGATTTGTGATCTTGTTCGATTAAACAGGAAGCATTATGTTCTGTTGTATCATAAGCATTTAAAAACATAGGAATAGATTGGCTTATCCCACATTTCCACTTAAATTAATTTATTTTAAAATGAAAAAATTTATTTTTAACCTTTTTCTCAAGTTCTTCACTTAATTGAAAGTCATAAAGGTTAGGAAAAGGCTTAAATAATTTAAATCTATTAAAAATTTTATTACGGATATGAATCTGAAAAATAAAAAAATCTTAAAATAATTTATAAAAATTACAATTTTGAGTCTATTGAATTTCTTCAGTGCCAATTCCTCTTTATATTCATTAATAAAATTTTTAAAATAATAATTTGTTAGTTGAATATTTAATAATTGATCCCAATTGAAAAATTTACATATATCTAGTTGAACTTCTACAGAAAGGAAATACATTTTTATATAAAAACTTTTTTTCTGAAAAGGAAAGCTAAAAAGCACACAAATCAAATAAGTCTAAAAATAATTAAAATACTAAATGGTACTTTATGGATATGTCACCCCCCCCCCTCATATTTTAAGTCTCAGAGTTTTCCTTAAACGTAGAAAATGATCAGAGATTATTGAAGAAGAACAAAATGATTGGCATGGAGAAGAAAATAATCTCTGACCATTTTCTACGCATAAAGAACTCTGAGACTCAAAATAGGCGGGGGGTGACATATCCATAAAGTACCTGCCTTATAAAAATAAATGATAGATTTTGATAGGTCTAAGCCAGAGGTGGGTCGGAATTCCGATTTCCGACTTCCGATTTCCGACGTTTTTTTCCTTCCGATTTCCGATTTCCGAAATTTTGGAAAAATTTCCGATTTCCGAGAATTTTTGAAGCATATTTCCGACTAGAGTTTTTCCAAAAATTTCAAAATTTTTGCCTGCGGCGCAAAAATTGGAAGAAATCTAACTTAAGGATCTCCAAATTTCTCAAAATTTTCGCCTGCGGCGCAGAAAAAGGAAGAAATCTGGCTTAAGGACCTCAAAATTCTCAAAATTTTCGCCTGTGGCACCTCATACTTCCTTTTTCAAATCGCTTTATATCTCATCCCTCTATCAGTCCTCAATTTTAATCTCCAAATATCACTATTAATTCTATAAATTCTCTGATATCCCGTCTAATCAACCAAATCTCACAAAATCTCTTATAATCCCTTCGAATTTGCTTTTTGAGCTGCAAAAAGAACTTTTACTCCCATAAATTACACTCAAGAAGGCCAAAATTTGCCACAATACAATTTTAAATATTTTTTCATTATGAAAATAAAAATTTTATTTCCGATTTCCGATTTCCGGCGTTTTTTTCCTTCCGATTTCCGAAAAATAATTTTGATTTCCGATTTCCGAGTTCCGACTTTTGAGCCATTTCCGATTTCCGACAGTTCCGATTTCCGACACCTCGGGCTGTTCCGACCCACCTCTGGTCTAAGCTAACTTTATTGATTTAAAAAATTTATAAAAAATAATTTTAATGCTGAATGAATGGATCGGGACGAATTGATAAATCACCTTTTATTTAAAAAAGATGACTATAACATTTTGTAAAAAATTCCAAAATTTCGTTAAATCATAAAATATTGTAATGTGAAAATTTATCAGAAAAATTTTAATAGCAAAAAGACAAATAAAAATTAATTTTCGTAAAATAATCGAATGATATGTATATCAAAATAAATAAATTGTCAATTAATTCGCTTAATTTCAACATAAAAAGATGACTCATATTTCTCGTTAATATGAATAGAAAATTTAATTTCTGGATTGTGTTTATTGGAAAGTTGGTATTTTGTAGATTTTAAATTTCTGTAGTTAACATTAATTTCAATATTTTCTGCCTGTTTACTTATACTAAGAGGCTCACGAATAGTATCGAAGTCAATTCTTTTCACCATTTTGGAGAGATCTTTTGATGTTTCTATATGCTAAAATTAAATTTTAAATCTCTTCAAATTTAAATCTTCAGATCTGTATATTATTTACACTTGCGCTCAAAAGTATTTCACCAAGCAAAATTAGCTTTTCGAGCTGAGTCGAATGACACCAAAATCAACGTGATTAGACATGGTTTGACAAAGTTATGACATTTCGTAGACTTACCGGAGTCGGCGACTTATATCATAATTTCGTCAATCTTGTCCAATCACTGTAATTTTGGTGTCATTCGACAAAGCTCGACGAGCTCTTTTGAATGAATATCTATCAGACTGACCTTTTCGTACAAATAATATACTGGGGGTGGGAAAGTAAATAAGGACCTAGTTAAGGACCTAGATAGTTATGAAATTTAATTAGACAATACTTATGAGCGCGCGATTTTTATAATTACCTGTATAATTAGATTGTAATATTTTGAGCTGTGATATTCATAACAAATAAAAGGAAATTTGTTTCCTTCATCAGTCAAAAGTAGAGATCGGACCAAACAAATATTTGACGTTGGAAAATCAAATATTTGATCAAATTTTATTTGATTTTATTTGATCAAATATTTGTTTGATGAGTTTTGAAGAAAATCAAATTTTTTCAAATACTTTCAAATATCAAATAGTTTGATCAAATATTTGTTTGACGACATTTGGAAAAAATCAAATTTTTTTCAAATATTTTCAAATATCAAATAGTTTGATCAAATATTTGATTGATGTCAAATATTTGATCAAATATAAATATTTGATCAAAACAGTCAAATATTTGATCAAATATCAAATAATTTGAAAATTTCCCAAAAATTCCAAATTTTGGTTAAAAAATGGTGAGAATTTGTTAATTTAGCACCATATTTTTTACAAATTTTGCCTGCGGCGCTAAAGGTCCTTCCCTATAGCGTCTTAAAAATTAGAATTTTTCCCAGTACTCAGGGAATATAGAGGCATATGAAGGATATCGAATGATTAGGAGAAATTTTTTGTGCTTAGAAGGGATATCAGGGGATTGATAGGGATATAAAAAGGATATATAAGGATTTGAATGGATATCGGGGATAAAAGGGGATATAGCGTGATTTGAAGGGACATCGGGGATCAGAGCTGATATAGGGTAATTTGAGGGGCAATATCTGTATAGGGGCAATATCTGTATATCTGTGGATTTGGAGGGATATCGTGTGGTAGGATTAAGCGGGATATATATATATATATGGATTAAGGGGATAACATCTGAGAATAGTGATATTGGGAAATCAAACTCTCACCTTAATCACCAATATACTTTCAACCCCACGATTTGAAAATACTTAATCCTTAAATCTCATGTTATCTCAAATCTCCTTAATCCTTGCAAATCCAAAGTTATCTCCCTAATCTAGTGATTCACTACAAATATTGATTTATAAATATTATTTAGTTATTATTCTGCTAATTATCTCCTTAATAATGGAATTCATAGTTAATTCCAAAATTTTGAAAAAATTTGATATTTGATCAAATATTTGACATCTTTGGTCAAATTTTTTTCAAATATTTTCAAATATCAAATAATTTGATCAAATATTTGTTTGACCACTTTTGGAAAAAATCAAATATTTTCAAATATTTTCAAATATCAAATAGTTTGATCAAATATTTGATTGATGAGTTTTGGAAAAAATCAAATTTTTTCAAATACTTTCAAATATCAAATAGTTTGATTTGATATTTGATTTTGCCGTTTGTCCGATCTCTAGTCAAAAGTTTAATTAGACTGTTTATATGTTGCTCTATATAGTTGACTTCATGAGCATTAACGACAACTTTATTAGAACATACATGATTCAATATAAATTTATGAGAATATTCGAAATGCTCTCTGAAAATATATATATTAGCCTTTTGAGAATAAAATTGTAAAGGGATATTTGTTTTATCTTCATCAAATAATAATTCAATCATTTGTGAATTAAATGTAATTATCCCGAAATTAACATATTCAAAGGCGCATTTAATAAGTTGTTGAAATAAATAACGAATAATTTTCATTTCTTCAATATTTTCTCGAAAGTTTGGTAAATGTAAATGGAAATCTAAATAAAATTTTTAAAAAGTTTAGAAGCATTTTGAATGCATTTTTCTTGTTATAATTGAGAATTGTAAAGAAATTTAAACTTTTTATATAAATATTGAGAGGATTGTCTTTGTTTATAATTCCGTAAAATTATCGGCGCTGGTCTAGTTTATGCGTCCAATGAAAACTTTATGAGTCCATTCAAAAAACAATTGGATTTTTCTTAGTATTGCAAGGTTGGGGTATGGTTCCAAAGCATTTCTTCATGTTCGGGACGTACGCCCACTGGGTCTGGGACCATTCCTTGCCCTATCCCTCAAAATTTCGGTAAGTTATAGCCAATTTTTAAAAATTTCTGAAAAACAATTATAACTTTCCGAAATTTCGAGGTATAGGGTAAGGAATGGTCCCAGACCCAGTGGGCGTACGTCCCGAACATGAAGAAATGCTTTGGAACCATACCCAAACTTCGTAATCTAAGAAAAATCCAATTTTTTGTTGATTGCACTCATAAAAGTTCATTGGACGCATAAACTAGACCAGCGCCAAATTATCATGACCTCAAATAAAAATCTACCTTGTCCTGACTCGCGATCTAATATGGTACAAATAGCGGTATGCATTCTTCTACTATTATCACTAAAATACAGAGGAATTGATTTTTTAATTCCATATTTCCACTAAAATAGATTTATTTTAAATAAAATATTAATTTTCGACCTTATTCTCTAATTCTTCACTCAATTCAAAGTCATAAAGTTTAGGTTCTGGTTTAAAGAACTCATCATGATATAATTTTTTCCAATGAATATAAGACTAAAAAATTGTTAAAATTGATTAATAAAAAATTACAAAGAGGAGTTTATAACATTTTTTCCGTGCTAATTCATCTTCATATTCATTAATAAAATTTTTGAAATAACAATTTGTTTGTTGAACATTTAATAATTGAGTGAAATTTAGACATTTAAATATATCTAGTTGAACTTCTATAGGAAGAAAATTCATTTTTTAAATTTTTTAGCCTGATAAAGCTAAATAAAATTCCAAATAATCGTAGTTTATTATAAAAAATATGAAAAAGAAAATTCATTTTAAAGAATATAATGTCCCCAACCTTATATTTATTTCTAAGATTTTGAACTCTCACAATTTAATGAGGATCTTATTAAATAAACTAACAAATTAAATATTTTATTTACAAAAAGACAAGTTCAAAATAAGAAAAAAAGGCAAAAAATTATAAATAAAAAGCTATTTACATAGGTATATAAAATGATAAAGGGCGGGAAGTAAAGAAAGGTTAAGTATTTACGAGTTTGAAATATAGGTTGTAAAAATAGTTTAAGGAAAAGGTTGGGAAACATTAAATTAAAATAATGTTTTGGGGGAAATGTTGTAAACTGGAAAAATGTAAAGAAACATTAAAAACATGTTTTGAGGGAAGAGTTTGAATAAAAGAGAAAATAATTAAAAATAAACGAAAATAACATTTAAAAAGTAATAATAAATTATTTTTTCTGAAAAATTTTGAAAAATTATTGAATTACTATAACTTACTGAAAATTATTGAAATTATTGAAAATAATTTATTTTCTAATATTATTTCAACATTTTAGAAAAATCTTTCGATGTTTCTATATGCTAAAGTGATAAGGGGGTTTCATGCCCACGTAGGATTTTGTGAGATAAAGATCATGAAACCCACTTATAGGACAAAATACATACATAAACTGAAAAATAAATAATTAAAAATATTTTTAATAAATTAACAAAAATGAGAATAGCATCTCTAAAAGCAGTTTACGAAATCAAAAATACTCTTTAGTTAATTAATGTCTCCATTTAGTATAGAAAAATCTGTAAAAATATCGATGTCAACATTTAATTGTAAAAGATAAAACCACTAAATAGTGTAAGGATGATTCATCAGACAGCATTTAAAACGACGATTTTTGTCATTCACACCCTTGTTTCATTCACACCATTTCATTCACATCATTCACACCTTTTGTCATTCACACCCTTATGTGTAAATTAAAAGAAAATAAATAAATCAAAATTGTCGCTCATTAGCTCTGTTGATAGAACATTTTATTAATCTTTAGACTTATTTGATTGGTTTTCGATTATATTCAAATAAGTAGAAAAAATATGAACAGTGGATTGCATTAGTTTGTTCTAAGCTAGATAAAATCATTGGATATTCTAGTAAATCCCAATATTTTTTAATGAATATTCTTTAATAATATGTATTGTAAAGCATATAGCTATTAATTTCCTAAGGCTGAGCAGTAGGCGGCGTGGTCAGTCCGGTCTGCTGAAGATGCTAGTTCGCTCTCAGCCGCCGAATAACCTTTTGCACTAGCTAAGGGAGATAAATAGATATAGCCCAGCTGCTTTACTATATTCTTTCAGTCAATATTTATTTTTTCAGAAAAAATTTAGCCAAAAATGTATCATCTTCCACCAGAAATTCAATTAGATATATGTAAATGTCTAAATTTCAATCAAATATTCTCTATTCAACAGACAAATCGTTTTTATAATAATTTTGTTAAAGAATATAAGGACGAATTGGCACGGAAGAAATTTAATAAAATCAGAAATGTACCTAATTTAATAATATGTATTAAATTCTACTAATTTTTAGGTTGATATTTATAAGGGAAGTTTATCTTCTTATAAATTTTTTAAACCTGAATTAGAATTTTATGGTTTCGAACTGAGTGAGGAGCTCGAGGAAAAAGTTTAATTCTTTTATTTGAAAATAAATAAATTTTAGTGGAAAAGTGAAATAAAAAAGTCAATTCCCATGTTTTTGAATACTGTTCATAGAGGAATATATATTGTTGCTTGTGGAGTAGAGGAAAGTCATAAATACGGACAAGGTTAAATTCTTAGTTGATTGTCCGGAAATATGGGCTCCAACATTTTGGAATATTTGGATCTAAGTAATTATGTGCTCAAAGTTAAAAACTGTATGACTAAAACTTGACCATTTGGGTTTATTATATCCAAATACCGTAAATGCTCGAATAATTACCCTCTCTCAAATAATTACCCTCTTTAATAATTACACCCTCCCTTTCCTTCTCAATTTTAAAAATATTGAGAAAATCATTGTCAATTTTAATTATTGAAACATTATAAGAATCAATATCAAAAAATAAATGAATTTCCTCTTCGATTTATTGAGATATACCCCAAATTTAGCCCATCCTCTCGATTAATTACCCCCTCCAGCGAGAGGTCGAAACAATAATTACCCAGGGTAATTATTCGAGCATATACGGTACTCTCGCATTCCTGATTTGAAACTTCGGAATAACTACTTCAAAAACCCCGTTTAGGGTGAGGGGTTTTTGTGGAGCACAAAAAGTAGTTATACCGAAGAAGGTCATAATAATTTTATTTACTCATCGAATCAAGCTAATTTCGATGTCGTTTGATTGACCTATAGATTGTCCTAAAATAATTCCCCGGAAAGTACATATAATTTAGCCAACCAAAACATTAATTTTTCAATCTTTTTAAAATATTATCAAAAGACAATTTTCGCCCGACATTACAATTTTCTAATAAATATATTATATCATTTAGACCCTCCTCAAACTGTAAATTATTTTTCCGATTTTTTTATTTAGAGCTATTTTTGCCTTTTCCAAACATTCCAAAAAATATTAAAGAAATGAAACTTGCTCGTTATTTATTTGAACAACTATTTAATTGTGTCTATGAATATGCTGATTTCAGTTCCATTATATTCAATCCCCAAATGATTCAATTATTATTTGATGAAAACAAAACAAAGATACCTTTACAAATTCATTCCCAGAAGACTAATTTATATATTAACAAGGAAAATTTTGAGCCCTATCTGTAAAAGAGGGCGCCTTGATTTTTTTCATCATTCTTTTCCACCTTAATATATAATTATACCTTAATATTATTAAGAATTATTTAATATCAATTAAAAATTGTTTAATATTATTAAGGTATATATTTTGATAGACATAAGCATAGATTTTGCCGTTACTGGCGATAAATACTAACGGTGTCTCCCAGTGGCACAAATTCCTCACCGAACCATCACAGATTACGGGAAAGGTCTTTTTTTGCACACAATTAGTCCTTCGGACTAATTGGTGACAATTTTGGGTATTGTGAAAGCGTTAACCGGTAAAAATTTTCACTTAAGTAAACAAAACCCGTTTAGCCGACCAGCTGCGACCAAGCGCTTCATGAAACGACATTTTTGGGGGACTTTCGAGAGGACATTTTGACATCTATTCTCTGAAAATTTTTTATAGACTAAATGTTTTCTGAACCCAAAAATCGTGCTAAATATGATTATGAACGAATTTTGTTGTAATAATCAATGTTTCACTCCAATAATTGAAATTTTAAAAATTACGGGAACTTTTTACGCACCCTGTATTTATATATTAAGGTTGGAAAAGAAGATGAAAAAAATCAAGGCGCCCTCTTTTTCAGATAGGGTCAAATTTTGAATTTCTTTATTTTCAATTAAATTTATTTATATTTATATTGGATCACTTGATTTCCAGTGAATTGATCGTTAATATTTACCAAAGCACCGACACAGAGCTGCGTAGAACGAATTTATTTGAACTTTTGACAAATAGAGGAGATAAATTTTCTAATGTTCTTTTTAATCATCCCAGCTTTGAACTTTACAAACTAGTTCTACAGGTAAAAATTATTTTTTGTCACTACGTAAACAAGATAAGAAATCAGTTAGAAGCTATAAAAACCTTAGTCCTTTAAAAATATTCACAGTTACAGTGTGTCAATAAACTAATGTAAGACCACCTATACTTTTCAAGTTTTTTCAGCTTCCAAGTAAGTCTCGTCAATGAAATTTCAAACAACTGTTTCTTACTGTATATAAAATTTTTTGGCACATGTTTAGACTAAATTTCGCAAAATTTCGCATTCCATTTAGAGTTTTTTAAGATGTAATTGTTAAATAATTTTTATTTACGGTAGTAAACATTTGTTTAAAATTTATTGTCTAGACTTACGTGGAAGTTGAATAAACTTGAAAATTACAGGTTGTCTTAAAGTTTTTGACAAACTATTGTAGCTAGATATCATGATTTTCGCAAAATTTTAGAATTGTTGCCCCTCAATATTAATACATGGATTTATTCAAAACAAGGGGGATTTTATTGATTAATCTGATCTCGATTTTTGAATTATTAAATTTTGAAAATTTGTTTTCTCAGAATAATTTTAAAAAAATAATTTTTTAAAAAATAACTTTAGCATATAGAAACATCAAAAGATCTTTCTAAAATGGTCAAAGAAATTAGATTAAATAATGTTTCTATGATAAGTAAAAAAGTATCAAATCTACTTTACAATAAATACAATCCAACAATTAATTTTTCTATTATTACTGAAGAAGTTTCTAAGTTTTGTTTTAATGTTAAAATAAAAAGAATCAATTGATATTTATTTAACATTTTTCTAAACATTTTTATACATAATAAACATATGTATTTTTAAAATAACCGTGCTTTTCTAAATGGAAAATTAAAAAAAAAAGTGAAGATACATACTTTAAAACCAGCTTTCCAATAAATACATACAATATAAAAATAAAGTTTTTTATTTGTACAAACAACACAAATACACTGCGTAACAAAAAGATGGCACATCATGTTTTTTCGATATAACTCAATGGAAAAGGGTCCGTTTCGACTGAAAATTTTTTTGTAAATAGTTTTCATGACTAGGATAAAGATAAGCTAAACCGCGCGCAAAAATTTTTTCTTGAATTTTTTTTTATAAAATAATAACCGTTTTAGCAGTAACCGTTTTAGCACTCTAATATACATATTTACATTTTTATGGTTTATGAGAAGGCAATTTCAAAGATAGATTTAGTGAAAATTTTAGTAAAGTTTTTATGAAATTTTAGTTCAATTCAAGAACGTATCAATTACATATATTTCTTTAATTTTGACGTAAAGAAAATTTTAGTAAATTAAGAGCATTTAAGAGAATTTTAACGGACTTTTGAAAAATTTTTCAAAAACGTCCAAGGCATGAACTAAAGTGACGCTTCATTTCACGCTGTTCATATCCAAAAGACCCAATTTCTCCGTTGAGAAATTTAGCAATTTCTTTCATTGTAGGGCGATTTGATGGAGCAGGTTGGACACAAGCCTGTAAAATTGTTTCTAAAATAGATTTGATTTTCTAATCGTTGCCGTATACAGGGTGACCATTATAGTTTAGGACACTTTTCATTTTGGCATAACTTTTCTATATTTTCGACTATTTTTAATTTAAAGTATTGAAATTTATTCAATTAAGATATTTTTTCAGGATGTATAATTTATAATTTACCTTTATAACACGATCCAATTTAGTATTGTATTCAGTATTTGAACGATATTCTTCCATTGTTCTATATACATTATGCCTGCTCAGATCTGTTTATATAATATTTTTTAAATGTATTTTTATGAAATAAATTATAAAAAAAGTTAAAAATATACTTGATCTTTCAAAACTTACTAAAGTTATTATTATATAGCTTGTAGACCATTATACCAAAAGCCCAAACATCTGCCTCTTTAGATGCCTAAATAATGCTTAATTAAGCTTTACTGCAAGAGCATAGCTGTATATATATTATTTTTATGTACATATATGTTTAATGAGAAAAAAGTAAATATGAAAAATACCTTTCCGCTTTTTACTATTTCTGGAGCTTTATTCTTTTTAGCAAAAATTTTCATATTTTTTATACTATTTTGACCCTTTAGCACAGATGTGTTGAAGTCTATTAATTTACATTCAATCACATTCTCATCATAAATTTTCCCTAATGAAACAATAAAATTTTCTAGCTTAATATCTCCATGAATTCCATCTAAATAAAAATTATTTTTACATACTTAAAATTCATCAAAGAATTCCTACATTTATGGAATTGTGTAAGTGCTTTAGCAGCCCCTCTAAAAACTTTTACAAGAAAATCTTCGTGTGTTCTTTCCTCTACAAAACCCTCTTCTTCCTCTACATAACCTTCTTCTTCTTCTTCTTCTACATAACCCTCTTCATCTTTAATTATTTTATCAAAATACTTTTGCAAATCCATCCCACCAATTTCTAAAACTGTAAACATAACTTGATTGCCCTCGATTTCCTTCATCTCGCTTCAAAAAAGAGTAGGTCTATTTGTTTAAAAAATTACATAAACTTACTATCCAAACATTTTTATTATATGAGTCCTTTCTTGATCTGGCAATTTATTAAAATAATTTAAAACTTCAATTTCTCTTTCAATCGCTTCGGATGTTGCCTTGTTTAGTTGAGATATTTTCAAAGCTACACACAATTTCCTAGCTGGCCAATAAGCATGTTTAACCTTTAAAATAGGGTTATTGTCGTCCGGTTAATTCTTCCCTGTGGAGCTTATATGTATGTACATATGTTCTCATTCTTCTTTATTTGGCCCGCACTAAGGAAAAATTAACCGGTCACCAACAACACTACTCTAAAAATAAATCTTATAACTTAATAAAAACTTGCTTTTCCAACGCTACTTTCTGTCCCAATCAGCGTATCGTCAACTTTTAATTTAATTCCATTTATATTTTCGTCCAGAATTAAACTACTAATTTTACTTTTACCACATGGACATTTACTATCTTGATCACTATGGGATGTTGAGGCTATTTGTTTAAATGTTTATTTTTTTAATTAAAAATATTTTACAAAAATAATAATTTTAAGCAAGAAGAAACTTGCAAAAAGACTTCTATGTTTTGCCCAACATACACTCTGTCCCATAATTATAAACGCACCCATTTTTTGAATTTTACACTTAAAATCTGTTTATTTTTTTCTGAATTTTCGTGTAATGATTGCAGGCTTAGGCATATATAATAATATTGTTAAAATTACAAGAGGTCTGGATTTATATTTAAAAATTTTTTAAAAATTTTCGAAAATGCATGTCCCATAATTATAAACGCACTTAAAATTTTTGAGTTTCTAATATTAGGAAAAATCTACAAAAATTTGAGCAAGCATATCTATCGATATTAAGAAAATATTTAAAAAATTAGACCCATATCTCACTTCAGCCTCGAGATCTCGACACCCGAAAATCAACGTAAAATAGGGTAAGGCTCTTTAAAAAATATTTTCGACCTCTTATGGATTATTTTAAATTTTTATTTTAGGCTTATCTGAAAGCCCTTGAAATTTGCTACAAGATAGTTAAATCTTATTTTTCGGAAAAAATATTTCGCTGGGTTATTAAGTGTTAAATATCCTTGTCACCAAAAAAACGCCTAATGCCCCAATAATTTATTACCTTTAGATAAACACTGGAATACAAATACTAACTTCAAAATTAATAATAATTTGCGGATTTTCATTTTAAATATTTCTCCTAAAAATAAATTTAAAAAATAATTTTACGAAGTTAACGCAGGTGCCTCCATTTGCCTGCATGTCAAAAGGAGGTTGCAAAATTCATAGAAAAAATTTAACAAAGAAGATAAAGTGAAGAGGACAAAGAAAAAAAAGCGCCGAATCTGCGAATTAAAACGGAGGCCTTAAATAATTAACAAATACAGATAATTATTAGACTATAAGGGAAAGTGGACCTGCAAACTTTTGAATTGAATCAAAAACTCGAGATTGATTGAATCTTGCCCTAATTATGACAGCAAAATAGAAAACCCTTTTTAAGGAATCGCAGTTGAACATTGTTTTGTCATTATTTTGGTGAGTTATCACGCACTGCAAACTTTTTCGCTTTTTCTTATGTTTGTCGATTTATTAGAATATATTTAATTTAATTAAAAATTTATTCAGACATTTTTAATTTTTAGAAATTTTAGAGGGCTAATTAAGTAATTAATTAATTTATTTATTTAATTAGACAATTGACAGCTTTAGATGGTATAAAATTGTATAATATTTTACATTTGTTAATTAATTAATCAATGTCATGCGAGAAAATATGAGATGGTGAGCAGAGTTGCGTCGTAATTGAAAATTTTTTTCGTAATCGTAATTCGTAATTTAAAAATTTTTTTCGTAATCGTAATTCGTAATTTTAAAAAAATTTTCGTAATCGTAATTCGTAATTTAAAAATTTTTTTCGTATTCGTAATTTTTCAAAAATATTTAAATTAATTTTAAAAATCAAATATCTATTAATAATTGCTGCTTCTCCCATTAATCTCTCCAAGTCTTCTTATTTCTCTGATATTATTCAAATCCCAATTAATTCCCTGATATCCCTCTTAATCCTAATAATCCTCGATATCTCTTTAATCAATCATGAGGAATTATCGTCCCAGATTAATTGATTGTAATTAAGCAATTTATAGCTTTAAATTTTTTAAAATTGTTTAATATTTTAAAAGTTTGTTAAATCCAGTTAAAGTTTATAAATATTTCTCGGGTTCATATGAATTGTTACCTGTTTTAATTAATATATTATAAAAATCAGCCCGATTGATTCGGTAGAAGTTAAGACTCAACTCGATTAGATTCGAGCATATTATTCTTTTTATGATTTATTGGGGTTTTTTAAGATTATTTTTAGTTTTCTAACATAAGTAAACATATCTAAATTATTTTTTAAGTTTTTTGATATTCTTGATTTATCAGTCTATATTAGATTTTATAAAATTTAGTTTAACTTCAATTTAACTTTTCAAATTTTATATAGAATGTTTAATATATAGAATTTATATTTAGAATTTTTAAATGCTTAAGGATCAGCAAGAGTAAACAGAATCTTGCATATGAGCCTTAGGCGCCAAAAATTCGGCGCAGTAAAGAAAATTCAAATGTTATAACGCAAAAGAAAACATTATAATATTTAGGAATCACGGAAGTTCATGATATTCGTGATAGTAAACTAATAATCTTGAACGAATCTAATATGTCATAGAATGAGTTTAATTTCATTTTCATTTAATCCTTAATCACCAATAATTATTAGAAGATTAATTATTTTGGATAATTGGATGGACAGTTGTTGTTTGTTGCTTTTTAAACCATTTAAACAAAAATAAACGTCTAATAAATTTAAATTCTTTTTTATACGCTTCTTTATAGTCGCTACTGAAAAATTGTTGAGTTAAAAATTTTTTAATTTTTTTATTTAATGAATATATTTTTATTTTATTATGCTCTCGACCAGAGGTGGGTCGGAACAGCCCGAGGTGTCGGAAATCAGAACTGTCGGAAATCGGAAGGAAAAAAACGACGGGAATAGGAAGTCGGAATTCTGACCCACCTCTGCTCTCGATTACGTATTTATTTTTAAGAAAGCTACTAGAAGAGTGCCCCCTACCCTAATTCTATTTTTAAATTATAAAATGCTAGATATTTTCAGATCAAAAGAGTAATGATAAGGGCCCGTATTATATGTTAAATCCTTTAATATTAAAAAATATCCTGAATCGTTTTTGTTCCTGTGTATAATTAACCTGTTTATGTAAAGAATTGGTGCATTTGAAGTACTGCCAAAATTAATGAATGTTCCACCAATAGTGCCAAAAATTGTAAAATTTAATAAATTGAATGAAATAAAATTTAAAGTAGTTAGTATCTTAAATAATTTAAACATTATGATGCCAAATGTATAACTTCCCATATTAACAAGAACAATCAAAAACAGAGATCTGTATACTTTTGACATACTTTGATCAGAAGGAGTGTTAAACAATTTTCCTAATTTAAAAATAAAATATAGGTGACAGACTAACCATATGATAAATACTTAAAATTTGGGTACTACTCCCTTATCCCTACGTGTTTTTGCGGAATAAATTTAATCATGTTTGATTGCTTGACAAGGGTTTAGGAATGAAGAAAGTAGCCGACCTCTATGTACAGACTGCCAAATTTGTACCCTACAATAAGGCGTACCTAAAATAGAGGGTATCGCTTAAACAGCCCCTCTTCAAATTGGACTTATGAAATATTTGAAACCCAAATTTTAAGAAACCAACCTTCTCTAATTTTCAATATTACTGCAACAATCAAATAAGAAATTAAAGCTGGAGCATAAACGAAAGGATAACTTAGCAGTGATAAAATAACACTGTCATTATTTATCACATTTATAACGCTATTTAAGTTTCCATCAACGAGCACATCAGAAAATTTAATAGCAGAATACACAATTTTGTACAATATAAAGGAACCATAAAATAATATAATAGCAACATGAAGACTAATGTACTTTTTCTTGTTTATACATTGATAACTTGATAATAAATAAATTAGAACAGGATTTACTTTAGTTCTAGTTCCTTATAACTTACTAAATTGGAAATGCTGCCGCAATAAGTCTGTCAATACTGAGTAAGTTAAACATCATAAGAGCTGAAAAAAACCCAACAATACTGTGTGCATTGAAGAAAATAGATTTTCCAAAGGGAATTAAATTTCTGCCACTCAGAGCTACAGAAAGAAAGTAAAAATGGTTGGATTGATGCAGAATTTCGTAAAATGAGTTGAAAACCAGAAGAATTGATGTATTACTTGAGAGTGCAGAATATTTTTTTCTAAAATTTTTATTTTAACCCTCCGAGTAACCTTTAATTTTGTTCCTCCGTTTGTTTCCTTCCCTTAAAAGTTATAATACCCTAAATTTTCTTTATCCGTTTTGATGGCACTTAATGTAGGTTTGGACGGTTTTTGAACAATTTCATTTCAATTAACTGGGCCACTGACCAATAAGGTTGGAGGATCCGGATCCGAAAAAGGCCGGATATCCGGAAATTTTCGGTTCGGATATCGGATCCGGATATCCGAAGATTTCCAACTATCCGCCAGCCTTACTGACCAAACTTTGTGCCGAAAATTTAAATTCCCTTACAATGGTCCAAACGGAACCGGACATACTGAAACTATCATGGCCGAGCTATATTTTTATTCTCTATACTCATAAAGAAAAATCTGTTGAAGGAAGTAAAGGGAGTAACGAAATTTAATGCAATTCCAATTAACCTGTATTTAACAGTTATATAACAAACACTTATGTTTAGTGGAATTCCAATAATTGCAATCGAGGAGTATATAATTGCTGGTATTACAAATATTGGTGAAATCCCAGCATTTATTAAAGCCATATATTCATCCTAAATTTTATTTAATTTCAAATTATTTTAAAATTCTAATAAAAATTCAGGACAATTATTGTTACAATTTAGCGGAAAGGAAACTATTACAACTTTTCTTAATTTATGTAATTATCCCTTAATTAACTGATTTGTCTCATTAATGAGATAAACTTTTAGAAAATAATTTAGTCAAAAATAATTAAGAATTAAAATTTTACATTAAATGGTGTAAATATGGCATTTGTAGACAAATTCGATTCATTAATATTCAGAGCCATTCAAATATGTCTCCAGTTAGTCGGCTCTCAATATGTATGAGTTATTTTCTTGAGGCTAAAAATATCATACATATGTACTTTATATTATATAATCTGTTGTATCAAAATTAGAGGTATCTATATTTAAAATTGTTATCTTAAATTAAGTATATCTAATATATGCTGACAGCCTTTCAATTTTATTAAAAACTAAATAACCTTTTAAAAATATGTTTAAAATATACAATTTATTCATGTTTTAATTAATTTATAAGGCAATTGTTTAATATAAATATTTACTCAACTTTTATAATTTATTTTTTATTTTAACATCTGTCTAATTAACCTTTACCACACAAAGTAAAATGGAATAAATTAAAAGACAAATTCTAAAATTCAATTAAAAATTTATGAATTAATTTTCTGTCAATGTAAATATTTTCTTTAAAAATGGCAAAGAAAATGATGTATTAATTTAATTAATAATTGCATTGAAAATATTTTTGAAATATAGGTAAATGTACTTATGAATTTAATCAACAATTTTAAATAAAAAATTTGATATCATCCCGTAATTATGCACTAGGTATTTACCAAAAGAGGCCTCAATTAAATTTTTTAGCCTCAAAAATAATTATAGCTTCAATTTACATTTTATAAACGCAAACATGTTTCAACTCGACTAACAACAATAAAATTCTTGTTCTCTTTAAAAGCTAATAACGGACATATGAGTTAAATTCATTCATTTTTAAATAAACATCTTTATAAATTTATTGGATTTGAACTTGTAATTTTTGAAATTACTTTGACTAAACGACTTATTAAATAAGTAGGGTACAGCCCAAGTAGGCGCGTAGCCATAACGGCGCAAAGCCATAATTTGCTTCAAGATTTCCGAATCTTACCAGTTTAGTATTAAACGATTCCTCTCATCGAGCTAAAGAAAATGGTACCAAAATTGAGAAAAGTCGGAAATCTTCCAGCAAGTTTTGGCTTTGCGCCGTTATGGCCGCGCGCCTACTTGGGCGTGTCCCAAATAAGTAGTCCTTATAAAGTAAATAAGTAGTCCTTATTAAATAATTAGTTAATTGACATATCGTGTTACTTTTTATTTGATTTAACATATATTTTGAAAAATACAATTAAAAAAATTTATTCACGCTCAATTCTCTTAATTTCACACACAAATGAGTTTTTTCAGCGCAGCAGGCGAAAATTATTGAGAATTTCGCTTTTTTAAGTTTCAATTAAATTTTTCTAACCAGAAAATAATTTTAATTTAAAAATTAAGTTTTTGATTAGAAACTGAAATAAATTTAAGAATTTTAGAGGAGAACACATTTTTATCAAAAAAGGAAAGAACAAATTTAGACAAATTTTCAAAAAATAAATTTACTAATTAATTCTTTCGATATTAATTCCATAAATTGGCACATCGTTTCGAACAAAATAATCAATATAGATTTCTTTATTATAAATTGAAAGATTATGCTTATTTGTAAGCTGATATTTTGCTGGTCCGAAATTGTGAGAAACTACACGAAGACCGACAAATTTAATTTTTTCCGCCGTTCTTGAAATGTCTTTTGATGTTTCTATATGCTTAAATTTAATAATTTTTAATAGAATTACCTATTTTTAAAAATTTCTTTTCTAAAATTCTTATAAAAATCATTAATTTTGATAAAAAGATTTATTAAATAAAAATTAACTATTACTAAAAGTATCTTGTTATTTTTTATAGGCTATATCGGAGCCAAATTTAAATACTAGATTTGTAACACAAGGGTTGCATTTCTTGGAACCCCATGTGTTCTTTAACATATAATACTCAGATTTTACATAAAATCCAATCTTTACCTGTACAATAAGGTCGTGAAGTATTACACTATAATTACAACAAACTTTGGAAAATTTATTTGCTCCATTTGTTAAAATTTCAAATATTTCATTTTGGGCTTTCTCAGAATAAATTGAAAATTGATTAGAAATCAGATGATCCAATGTAAAGTTTACCAACTTTACAATATCCTTTTTCTCATTAAGTAGATAAGCTTTTCGAGAATGAATTTGTAAAGGTATATTTTTATTTCCATCAAATAATAATTCGATCATTAGAGGATTAAATACAGCTTCACGGAAACTAGCAATATCGAAGAAACATGTAAAAAGTTGTTCAAGTAAATAACGAGCAATTTTCATTTCTTTAATGTTTTTTGGAAAGTTTGGAAATTTTGAGGAAAATGCTAAATAAAATTTAATTATAAATAGATGGTAATAGTGGCAAAAGTGGAAAATGAGCTGAGTGCTGAGTCCGAATAGAGGTGCTGAGTCCGAATCTGAGCTCAGCAGCCGACTTGGCCCCAAATTCTACTTAGTCGAATTCGGGTCCAGGGTTCGAAACAAACAAATTCTAGGTTCAAATTAGGACTCAGCACACTCAATTACGATTTGAAAGCCTCAAAAATATCAAAAAGAATTTTTTACTCATTTTCCCTCTAAACCAATGGTTATCAGTTACCAGATTTTTTGGTTCCTTAAAAATCTTAGGACATCCGGAACCGGACACTAATTACAGCAACACTAATTGTAGGTTTACATTTATTTTCATATTAATAGCTACACAAAACTTAGTACCTCGATTTGATCCACAAACAACAATAATGTACATGTTTGTTTCAGAAACACTTGAAAACATGGGAATTGAATTTTCAATTGCCTCTTTCCACTAAAATTAATTTTAAACGAAAAATTAATTTTTAACCTTTTCCTCAAGTTGTTTACTCAATTGAAAGTCATGAAATTCAGGTTCTGTTTTAACAGATATAAAATAATAATATGAAAAGCCCACATAAGGATAGAGCTAAAGATAAAAATTAAAACAATTATGTAATTAAAGGAAATTACAATTTCGAGTCTATCAAATTTTTTCCGTGTCAATTGACTTTCGCATTCATTAATAAAATTTTTGAAGTAACGATTTGATTGTTTAACATTTAATAATTGATTTAAATTGAGATATTTAAATATATCTAGTTGAACGTCAGACGGAAGAAAATACATTTTTATATGTACTATTAACCTTTTATCTGAAAGAAAATAAGATTCTAAAAGCAGCGGTTTTATTAGGCCAATATTGATAATAAATGCAAAAAATTATTGAAATAAATTATCGTTTATTCAAAAGCAGTGATGTTCGGGAGTTAAAAAGACGAGAGAGTTAAGCTAGTTATTTTTGTGTCCTCCCCTAATTTAGAATAAATAAAATGAAAGTAATTTTCCTCGCAATAATATTTCTCCTCATACATTCAATAGAAATGATGCTAAAAATAAAAAATTCACCTGCATTAGTTGAGCAATAAACATAGGTAACTAGCCCTTATGGCGTAGAACAATTATGTATATACTAGGGTTAGTATTCATCCCCAAAAGTCTGGGAATTTTAGAAATTTTTTGAAAATTCCCCGTCTTCCCCCATGGAAAAAGAAAAAAAAACACTAAAGAATCTAATTTCCTTTACTTTTTTAGAAAGATCCTTTGCTGTTTCCATATGCTAAAAGTTAATTTCTAAATATTCAAAAACTTTATTTCCACTCCAACAACACTAAAGAATCCCCGTTTAGCAAGCTAATTAAAGGTAAATTTTGTAATATAATTGCATGTATTATTTATTTCAAAAATAATAAAATTGTCAAATAATTCTCATAATTTCAACATCAAACTCATAATCGGGTTTTTCTTCCATAGAAATCAAAAACTTCATATTTGGATTGTATTTATTGGATAGCTCATATTTTATGGACCATAAATTGTTGAGTCTGACTCGCTTTTTAATATTTTCTGCTCGTTCACTTATTATAAGAGCTTCAACAACCCCTTCCGGAAAATGCACCTCTACCTCACTGATCTTTTCACCACTGCCCAAGTCACACGGCACTCCAACAACACTAAAGAATCTAATTTCCTTTACTTTTTTAGAAAGATCCTTTGCTGTTTCCATATGCTAAAAGTTAATTTCTAAATATTCAAAAACTTTATTTCCAAAAATTTAGGTAATAGTTTGGAATTCGCCCCCTCCCCTTTTGTCCCTTTCCCTGACCATTTTTAGCTTTCTTTCGTTTAGTATATAATTTTTATATATCCTTCGAAAGAGCTCCTCGAGCTTGGTCGAATGATACCAAAATCGGCTAGATTTGATTATTCTTACAAAAATTATGAAGCTAAATCCTTTTTGGGAAAACTTTGTGCCAATCCAAGTGGATAAAGATAAACGGTCATAACTTTGCTCACTTAAGTCAGTTTTCATTAATTTTGATGTCATTCGGCTCAGCTCGAAGTGCTCTTTCAAATGATATTTAATTTGCCATAAAATGAAAAAAACTAGCAAAAAATTGAAAGGAAAAAAGAAGGGCGAATTCCAAACTATTATCAAAATTTGAGATAAAAGCAAGTAACCTTTTCTAAATTCTCGATTTGGTTGCCTTACATAGGCAACACTATTTACTTTGTAATCACAACCATTTAAAAACACAGGAATTGATTCTTCTATCGCCCATTTCCACTAAGATTTATTTACCGTATATGCTCGAATAATTACCCTGGGTTCGCTGGAGGGTGTAATTAATCGAGAGTAGGTGCCAAATATGGGGTATATCTCAATGAATCGAGTAGGGAATCGATTTATTCTTTGATATTGATTAATAAACTGTTTCAATAATTAAAATTGACAATGATTTTTTCAATATATTTAAGATTTATTTAAGAAAGTGAGGGGGTACTTATTAAAGGGGGAAATTATTTGAGAGAGGGTAATTATTCGAACATATACTTTTAAAATAAAATTAATTTTTAACCTTTTTCTCAAGTTGTTCACTCAATTGAAATTCATAAAGTTTAGGGTTCGGTTTAAATAATTTGTATTTATTGAAATTTTTCTTACTGATATCAAACTAGAAAAATTTTAAATCAAATTAATATTAACAAATTACAATTTGGAGTTTATAGAATTTTTTCCGTGCAAATTCCCCCTCATATTCATTGATAAAATTTTTGAGATAACAATTTGTTTGTTGAAAATTTAATAATTGCCTGAAATTGAGACATTTGAAAATATCTAGTTGGACTTCTGATGGAAGACAATACATTTTTACATAAATTCTAATAATAAAATGAATAAATTTGCTTAAACAAAAGTATTTTTATTTTGATAAAATTGCAACAAATATTGGAAAATATTACTTTAAAAATTTCCGGAGTCAAAACTTTTATCAGAAATAACAAGGAATAATCGTAAAAATTAATTTATCATTTAATTCATCTAATTTTTATATCCGCAATTTCACTTTCTGGTCAAATTTAATCCAGGAAATCCAAACATAAAAATCGTCTGGATCTGGACTCTGGATTTAGGTTAATAACCTGAAGAAGATTCTGGATCCAGAAAAAATCCAGATCCAGTCCGATCTCTACTCTATTGTAAATTAAGTTGAATATCTGTGCATCATTTTTTGCGTGGATGAGAAAATATTCTAAAGGGAAAAATTACATTCATTTTAAGAACACAAACAATGGATCGACATCAAAACCTTCCTATAAATAATTTGTGAAAAGCATAGCAAATCTTTTTTAGAGAGGTTCGGCAATATTTAAACTTTTTTAGAAAAAAAATGAAAAATCTTCCAAATAAATTAAGAAACCTAAAATTCATAGCAATTGAAGCTATTTAAAACAAAGTTCATTAAGCCCATCTCCATTCATTAAAATTCGAAATGATTTCCAAAGTGCCTTCCACATGGAAAAAATTATAATCTGGGTACTTTTCGGTTATGAGGTTACAAATTTACAATTTTAAAAAGTTCTCAAAATGGTCAATATATCATATAAGTATACGGTAGAAAAAGGTGCTGAATCGACGGTACCAATCTTTTTTCAAGAAGATTCTTGTGGACCGAGATATATGGCTCGAAATGGTCAAAAACCATAAGCAAAAAAACCATAGCTCATTTTTGGGGTGAAAAATTCCATTTTTTGAATGATAGCTCATTCGAAAGAGCTCCTCGAGCTGAGTCGAATGGCACCAAAATCAAATGGCACCAAAGTCGAATGGCACCAAAATCAACGTCGAATGGCACAAAAACCAAAGTTTGGACAAAGCTATGATCGTTTGTTTTATCTCTTTACCTATGGACTCCCTATGATTTTTGACCATTTCGAGCCCTATATCTCGGTCCACAAAAATCTTCTTGAAAAAAGATTGGTACCGTTCGACTCAGCACCTTTTTCTACAATATGTATGATATATTGACCATTTTAAGAACTTTTTAAAATTTGTAAATGTGTAACCTCATAACCGAAAAGTACCATAATCTGTAATTAATAGTTCTGACTGGGTTGTAGATTTCAACAAATTCTTCGTTTAATCAAAACCGATAATCTTCAGGCTTTCGGTTTGAATCCGACAACCCGAATCCTCAACATGACTTAATAGTTTAGTAAATTTTTAAAGTTGATTTTAAAGTAAATTTTAATAAACTTTCATTTTTGTAGACATTAATCAAGATTTTTTGATAATGAAAAATTTTTTAAAAAATTTTTTGTACATTAAGAAAGTGTTGAAGCTTTTGAATGTGATGGAGAAATATATTGAATTTAATTTATAACGTCAAAGTCCAAAATTTTTAATTTTAATTTGTTCAAGTATGGAGCTATATTTAATCCAGAAATGATTGAATTATTATTTGAATGTCATAAAAATAATAATTCAATCATTTCTGTCTTAAATATAGCTTCCTTAAAGTAATAGGAATTATAGTACGTGGGAGCAAGAAACCGGATTCAAGATAAATACTAATTGATTTAAAGTATCCAAAATTCTTCAAGAATGCCAAATATTCTGTGATCTTAAAAAATATTTAAAATTAATGTAAAATAAAGTACTGATTGAAATTGAGGTATTTAAATATAGTACCTAGTTGAACTTCTGGTAGAAGAAGATTCATTTTTATTTAAACCTTTCTTGAAAAAAAACATAATTTGCTAGATTTAAAGCTAGATTTTAAAGGATTAAACAAACAACTTCTCACAATAGTTATCCCCAAAACTTTTTTCCCTGAACAAGGAATTCACAGATGCTTCAACTAACCAGACTATAAAAACATATTACCCAAATGAGTCTAAAAATTTATAAAACACTTATTAAAAATGTTATAAATGTTAAAAACGAATATTGATTGACTTAATGGTCCTAGAGTAATTTTTGTAATAAAGTATTTAGGTAATTCTATATCCAATGGTGTAATTCTTTATCCAATTATCACCCAACCAAAAACATGTCGGGTAATAATCCTTCCATGAGCTATACTTCATGAGTTCAAGAGTTATACTTTCAAGTCTACATATATTTAATTTTATATAGAGAGTTTTTTGAGAAAATTTCTGATATAAAAGCTAAAAGAATTAATTGATAAATTTATTTCTTGTAATTTTTGATAAATGTTTTGACTTGGGAAATTTTTAAAATAATATTTTCCAATATTTGTTGAAATTTTATCAGAATAAAAATACTTTTTTAAGCAAATTTATTCATTTTATTATTAGAATTCATGTAAAAATGTATTTTCTTCCATCAGAAGTTCAACTAGATATATTCAAATATCTCAATTTTAAGCAATTATTAAATTTTCAACAAACAAATTGTTATCTCAAAAATTTTATCAATGAATACGAGGGGGAATTGGCACGGAAGGAATTCTATAAACTCGACTTTGTAATTTGTTTAGATTAATTCGATAATTAGCAAATCTTTAGATTTCTACCAGTAAAACGACCGTAAATCATTATAAATTGTTTAAACCAGAACCCGAAGTTTATGACTTTCAATTGAGTGAACAACTCGAGAATAAGGTTAAAAATAGTGTATTTTTAAATAGATCAGTTTTAGTGGACATGGGCAATAGAAAAATCAATCCCTATGTTTTTAAATGCTAATGATGCAAAAAGAGAAAGTGTTATTTGTGTATTGGAACAAGTTCACTATTGTAAACTGGAACGTGAACCAAAACGAGGTAAAATAAATACGTATCTGGGCACAACTCCGTCTTACAAAAACTTCGTTCAGCCAAAACTCCGTACGACACATACTTAGTCCAAAGAAAAATGAATTTTTAATTGGTTGAGGTCTTTTTGGCGTGAGTAATATTGTCTGTTACAACGGGAATGATTGTTCCAGCACAGTTAGAAAATTTGTTCCTTGCACAGTTTATGATTTGGTGAATTTTTGATCAGGTTCTTTGTATTTCCTAGTGTTCGGCAATTTTTTAAAAATAAATACTATTAGGATTTTAAGGATTTTTAAGGATTCTGTTCCGGAATCCAGGGCTTTAAGCGAGGAAAGCCCTTGTTTCTGTTCCTCGCTTTAAGCTAGGAACAGGATTTTCGGGAAACTTAAGTAATTCCTTTTTATAGAAATTAATCTCGCGGGATCCATTCACGGTCGCCCTTTTGAAAAAATTCCGTCACGGGATATCGGATTTTCTTTTACTACTCAAGTTCAAACTGCGGGGAAGGTTGTTCCAACAACGGGGAATGATTTTCCCATAAGTAGAACAATAATTCACGTTGCACAGCCACGCCTAAAAGACCCCACCCTATTGAAAAAAATAGATTTATTTATTGACGAAGTTTTGGCTGTACGTAGTTTTGGCATTAGAGGTTTTGCCCCTCACACGGTAAAATATATACATACCTATATAATGTGTAAATCCCTTATTATTTTAATTGCAAATCATTCTTTTAATATATAAATTTTAGAATTTTACAATATACGGTTGCCAGACTTTCCAAAAACTATAGAAGACATGAAAATTGCTCGTTATTTTTTCCAACAAATATTTAATTATTTCTTTAAATCTGTCAATTTTTAATTTCATTATATTCAATCCTCAAATGATTGAATTATTATTTGATGAAAATAAAACTAAAATACCTTTACAAATTCATTCTCACAAAGCTGCCTTACACATTAACAATAAGCATACAGAATGGTTTTTACAATTTGCATTGAAGCATTTGATTTCTAAGCAATTTAATATTTATTTTCGAGAATTAAACAGTATAGACCAACATTTGGATATTTTATTTAAAATTGTGACAAATGGAGGAAAGAAATTTGTCCGTGTTAATTATTTATTTAGTGACTTTTCAAAGCTTTACTACAATCGTATTATTCAGGTGCCTATCAGGGATGTCACGGGTTGAGAAAAATGTCGGGTCGGGTTTCGGGTAACCCGTGACATCCCTGGTACCTATGTGTAAATGGCCTTTTATGTGAATGGGTTGTATTTAACTCCGTTTACTAAAAAAATTAGAAACGTAAGCCTAGAACTTTAAGATACATCAATTCCAAAAATACACAATAAATTCAATAGCTTTTCTCATAACTTTACCCGCATATTAGTGTTTCACTGGAACCGAAATTTCGATCGGAACCGGATCCATTTTGAGTTCAGGATCCTGGAACCGGAACTCTTTCTTGGTTCCGGCCCAGAACCGGAACTTCGGTGAACTCACGCGTTCTACGAGAATATTCAACATTTTACGTGAATATTTTTTAGCATATAGAAACTTCAAAAAATATTTCAAAAATGGTGCAATTAATTGAATTCGGCGGCGTTCGTGGACCTCTTACTTTAAGTGAACAAGCAGAAAATATTGAAATCAAAGTTAAAAACAACAATTTAAAATCTACAAAATACCAAATTTCCAATAAAAACAATCCAGAAAAGAAGTTTTCTGTTTTTATTGACGAGGTCTATCGTTTTGATGAAAACATAGCAATTTATAATGTTAAAATTGAAAGAAATATGTAATAATATTTTTTGATGCTTTAACTATGTATAAAGATTCATTTTAATTAAAAAATTTTGTTTTAATTTTGCTCTCTGTTGATAAAAGTTGTTTAACAAAAAGCTTTAAGTATATTTTTAAATTCCTCATAAACAATGTTCCTTTTTCGACTGTCAAATAAAAATTAAATTCTAAATAAGAATGACAATAAAAATTTAATTCTTGGGTTGTACATATCTACTTATTTTATAAATTTAAAACGTTAATCTCCAAATCCAAAAATTTATTTTATTAATATTTTTTAATTTTATTAGCATTGAAACTTAAGTTTGGATGCTATAAAATAGTGTTGTTGGCGACCGGTTATTAACCGGTACCCCCGGTTTTCGGTTAATCTAAATTTTAGAAACCCAGTTTTCGGTTTTGAGTTTTAGGCAAATACTGGTTTTATTTTGGGGGAATTTTTAATAAAATCGCTCATTTTCACAAATTTCCGGTTTTCGGTTTTTAAAATTTTCAAAAGCGGTTAATTTTTCGCAAAAAATTTCAAAAATTCCGGTTATAAAACCGGTCGCCAACAACCCTACTATAAAATTAATAAATTTGGCTTTAAAAACCAGATCAAATGACTCAGACATAAAGCCCATAAAAACAATAGGAAAGCTTTATTGAATAGACATTGTTGTTCTTCTGGGAATCTCTTTTATTTTTATAAAAAATTTTTTTTACATGCCATGATTAAACATATCATGTTTTTGCACTAATAAAAATTTTTCTCTAATAAATCTTGCCCTTTTAAGATTTTTCACGTGCAAATTAATATTTTTATAAGTCACCCCAAAATATCAAATCCATGTATGCACTTCAACAAATTAAATCCCGCTAATTCTTTATTGTCAGATTTTAGTTTTCAATCATAGTGTTGATTCCTTGCCATATTTCAACGCCAATTGAAATTTTCAAGATTAAGTCAATGGGTGGGTTGCTCAGGAGTAGATTCGGAGCCATAAAACGACCTACATATAACAATTATTAGCTTAATACCCATTATTTGAAGGACGAAAAATGCTTCTGATTAGAGATTAAAAAACAAACTCAAAACATTTATTTAAACAAAGTTTAAATTTTAAAGCCATTTTGATCATTTTGTTGATCTTTTGAGATGTATATGTACATATATTTACATTTAATAATTATTAAGAAATATTTAAATTGATTCCCAAAATTACATATACGTATGAAAAAGAAAAATTTTCTCTCCCCCCTCCCCCCCCCCCCATCACAAATAAAATTTATTTTATTTTTTTAAATTTTATTCATTCATTTATTTTTTATTTAAATTTAAAAAAAATATTAATTAATTAATTTAATTTAAGAATTCAAAAATGAATTTAAAATTTTGCTTATTTTCATTTTATTTTCTTTTTCAATTTTATTTGAATGAAGGAGTTACATTTGATGAAGTGATAAACTCGAATGAGATAAACTCGATTGAGAATGAGAAATTGAAGCAAGATTTGAAAAATGATCTTGAGGAGTTGGAGGGGAAATTAAACTTTTTTAAAAACAAAATTGTAAAAGAATATTGTTTTAATTTTTTAAAATTTTTTTTTTGAATTTTAGAACAAGAATAAAGCTTTGGGAGAAAAGTTAGAGTCAGCCGCTAAGAAGTTATGCAATAAATTGAAAGTTATGGTGGAAAAGAGTAACTGGGATAATTTTTCTGTATTTTTAAACAATGGAATAACTATCCTAAAGAAAATTTACCAAACAATGACTAAGGAGTATGAAGACTATGAAAAAAAGTATTATGATGAAGCTTTCGACATAATTTCTAAAAATTGGGGTATATTCTCAATTATTTTTGATTTATGGTATCAAAAAATTATTTTCCTTGCTCAACCTTCTGGTTCTCAAACTTCTACCTCTCAAAACCATCCCCATCACCGCCGTTCAAAACGTAGTTATAATTACTACAAGAAAACAGAAGAGGAACGTGAGAAGGAAGATGAGGAAAGGGTAAACAAATTCAATCAACATGTTGATGAAGCTTACAATTTTGTTTGTTTGAGTTATGTGTTTTTGAACATTATTATGTTCGTTGTTGTTTATTTATTTGCAACACAAATATATCCACAACTTCATTAGGGAAGAGGTTTTATGTAAAAAAAAGTAGCCAAATATGAGTAAAATACCGTATTTCCTATATAAAAGCCCCACCCTCTGTTAGAGCCCCATCCTCTAATACAGCACCACCTTAGGGGATGTTTGAAAAATAGAGCCCCATGGGGCTCTAATATAGGAAATACGGTATTTAAATTAAAAGTATGGGGATAATTGCCTTATAGTTTTCATTTTTGTGTTTAAATTAATTTTGCTGAAAAACAATATTTTCCGGTACAATAAAAATTAAAGATTTATTCGGAAGAATTAAAAAACTCCTTAATTTAAATTTAAAAATAGAAATTTTTAGAAAAAGAGAAATTTAAAAATAATTTTTAAATGAATACATATTTGGTTATTATTTTTATAAGATTATTTATTTTTCTTTTAAATTTTGTAGGGGGATTTTAAAAATTATTTCAGCTATCTAACATATTTTCTTTGTTTTTGGTAATTTTTATTGAATTAGTCATTATATTTTATTTTTATTACACACTTTTTATGATTTTAAATTATGTAACTTTAGTTCATTAAATTTTAGATTGGTGCGTATAAAGAGTTTTTATTATTTCTTTTAATGTTTAAACTTTTAGAGTATCTTAATGTGTATCTGAATGTCGATGAATGTATATCCTTATAATTGTTTTTTTTCATTTTACTTATCTTTTAATATTTTTACAATGCTTTTGTGCTATAACTTCCTTTTAATTAAAAAATAAGAGTGAACAAACATATTAAATTGCATACTTCACTGTGCGGAAAGTAGAGAAGGGCACAATACCTCGAACTCAATTGAGGAGGGACAGGAGAGATTCGACCGGATCGAATCAACTCCTTAGTTTTTAGCGGGCAACGGAGATCTTCAATCTCCAGAAAACAAATTCCTTAGTAAACACACAAAACACAGAAACACAATCAAAATGTTTATTTAGTTAAAATAAGATTATAAATGAAAGTGCCTCGGGGGAATATAAGCCGAGCACAAGTTTGGGCTGCAGGTCAACAAAGCAGGCCCTTGTGGTCTCTAGGTATATTGAAATGTGAGCAAATCAAAAGTTGGTAATAAGTGATTGGCAGAGCTCAGAAAGCGCTGGCAATAAAAGCAAGTGAGAAATAAGCAAGTAAAGGGTAGAAAACAACAACTAAAAAATGACGGTAAAGCAAGTGATTAAAGAGAGTAGGCCAAAACATTATATAGGGGTAAAAAATGGGCGTAAACAAATAGATTTTAAGAGAGAAAAGAAAATTGTAAAAAAGTGTGTTTTGAGCGGGGAAAGAAGTAAAGGTTAAAATATTAATTAATAAAATTAAAATGGGATTTTAAGTGCCCTTTGGGCACATTCCCCGCCCAACAAAAAAGGTATATAGCTAGCGAGGGGGAAGGCGAGAAAATGCGGTACGTATTGATTTGACAAGTCGGGCAGTTGCGCCCTCAATCGCAAGTAAGTCTTGTGTATATTCTTCTCCTCTTCCATCTCGATTTTCTTCTTCAATTTCTGTCAAAGCAGTGGAGGCAGCGGTAGCAATTTGCTCGGCACGGGTACGAAGACCCCGGAGATGATTATCAACAAGACCCCGGATTGAAGATGCCTGACGGTATGGGCGACGTCCAGACTCCGGAACTCCTCTTGCATAAGGACGCCGCGAACGATTATCTAGACTACGGCGGCCACTACCGTCAGGCTCTTCCGCTCGAACATTAGCAAGAGGAATAGCAGACACATCAATCGCTGGTGGTGGAAAGGCTGGCACCAACTGTATATTCGGTGGTGGCAGACTTTGAGGAACGAGCGCGGAAGATGAAGTTCCACATATCTGAGAATTAGGGGTAATTTGGGGGCCCTCACCAACATTACTCACCGAATGAATTGGCGGGACCGCCATAGCTTGAAATCCACTGAGCTTCTGCACACAGGCGAGGAGGGCTTTGGTAAGACTATCCTCGGCTTGAGAACGCTCTGAGGCTCCTGGATTAGCGGAATCTTTGGAAATTTCCCCTTTAAGATTTTTACCTTCCTTTTCACCCACGCTACTTTGCCCCACTGTAGTTGAAGTATTTTGTTGTTGAGCTAATGTAGTAACTGCTGGAGCAAATTGATATTGTAACGTAGGTTGGGTGAGCGTTGTCATTACGATTGGTTGTTGTTGAGTGTCTGTTGCCTTTTCTTTCTGTTGTTGAATAGCAGCTAATTTTTCATTTTCTATTTGAGTTGCTATGGGTAAGATTTTAGAAGAAGTATCCTCTTCGAGGATTTTTTCTTTATTATTGTTGTTATCTTTAAATTTCTTCTTCGGGATTTTCTCCCAGGAAGCCACAAGATTATTCATCTCCTTTTTCTCTTCCTCTGTAGTTGGCTCCCCAAATGTTGAAATATATGCTTGCTGGTGTTGAGTCAAATTCTTTTTAGACATGATGCCAATAATTGATGGAATATAACTATTATCTATTGATGTAACATAATTATGAGGCAAAATAACGCGGCAAAATTCGAGGCAGGAAATTTCACGAACGGGGTTCGAAACCGCGCAGACCGACAAACACATAGCCAGTATAGTGAATACAATTGTAATGGATTTAATCGGGCGCATAGAACGGGGTATTACAATCCGCAAAACGTCCTCACTCTTATTTTCATTTTCGGCTGTGCCTCTCTGTGTTTGAGCCAATTCCGGGTCGGGAGTAGAAGTATGAACTCGTTCCGGGATTCCCGGAGTGTTTTGCCTTGAGGCTGCTGGACTATTATCTCGTGAAGCCGGAAACTCCTCCGACTCGTATGTAAGCAGTTCTAGCGGGAGATAGTCCTCATGAGGCTCGCCCGCTTTCCAACAGGGCTTCCCTGTGGCACGGGCCCTCTGACGACTACGCCTGGAGGATCCCCGTATGCCACCTTTCACGATTAAACATGGCAGGCGGGGATGCACCAATGGTTGGCCCTTTCTAGCAAAATAATCCTCGACAGATTCACCCGGCTGGATCAGAGTGACCCAGGCAGGTTGACTAAGCTTTGGGATTACATTGGGCAACCGTTTCCCTCTATAACGAAGATTTTCCCAGAGTAAACACAATAAGCCTTCAGCTTGTTTACGAGGCAACTCCCGAGACCATGTTGGGGGCCACATGCGCCCAATCGCGTTAGGGAGATACTCAGCCATTGTTTGCCCTCGCCGTGGCCAGTCGGGATTGTATCCCGCCTCCTGGCATTTTCTAAAGTATTCACTAGAAGTAAGTCCTGGCTCATACACAGGGGGTACGAGGCAGGGTTGCGCTTGCATTTCTTGAATAGGGAAAAAGTTTGGGATTGCAAGGAAGAGAAGAGTAGTTTGGGAGTTTCGAATAAACTGCCAAATAGAAAATGATTTTTCTGGGCTTTGCTTGGCATTTATAAAGCCAAACTTTTGTGATTGAATACTGGGCGGTGCAATGGAAAAGTTTTGGCCCAATGGCCTTGCTCTCTTTCTCCTTCGTGCACCGCCAATTTTTGGCATTCCAATAAACAATTTATTTTTCTGAGAATTGAAGAAGATAGCCATCTGTGTGTTTCGATGGGTAAAAGTTAAGTGAAGTAAACAACTATTTATTTTTACTTTCTTTTGTTTATTTGATTTAGTGTGACGGAAAGGCGCTTGTTGAATAATGCGCCATAGTGCGTCTTTAGAATTACAAAAGTTAGCTTTATTTTTGGCCAAAGCTAACTTTACACAAAAAGATGAAAAATGTGTAATTTGTGCAGATGTTGGGCAGAAAAACTTTTTAAAATGTTGAATAGGCAAAAAATAATTTTTTTGTATTTGCCGATTGTTGAATTGAAGTTTGGCCGATTTTTTGTTCAATGGGCATATAGCCCCTTCCCCACCGGCCAAAAAAATGAGAATAAAAATTGGGACAATCTGAGTCGCAATTTTACGAAAAAATTTCAATTTGAGGCGGAGAAATATGTAAAAGATTATTAATATTGTTAAAATGATAATAAATGTTAAGGCAGAAAATATAATTGGCAATGAGGAAATTAGATAAAATGGATTTACATTTCCAAGCGTCCAGGCCGATGATTTCTGGCTGGACAATGATTGAATATTCTCCCTCTCCTTCCACGAAAGAGGGATGAAAATTAGTTCTCCTTTAAGGTGAAAATTGGACTCCCCTCCTGGGCATTTAACCGTGCAGGAGGTATCAATTCTTGACCTATCGTATGTAAATGCTGCTGTTCCAGCTGTACCGTTTTCAGAACATTGTGCAATGAAGTTTATGCCATCGGCACATGAGATATAAGCAAGGGCATTGCCTAAATCGGTTGTGCAAGTAAAATCCACTTGGACACCTTTGAGGCATTTATAGCAGCCTCTTATTTCCTTAGGAATTACTTTACAGGCAGATTCGGTAATTTGAGTGATGAGTTGGAAATTTTCCATTTGTATGTGAATTTGTATCGGCGTATAGGTTTGTTCGACATAAACAGAGTCATCCTCTGTTAGGAAAGTGTGACGGCCAATTGTTAAGGGGAGGCGTAACTCTGGGTCTGCTAATATCGCCTCAGCGTCAAATTCACGACACTGGCAGGTTACGGTATCTCCCGAAATGAGTCGGCACTCTCTGCATGCCTCCTCTGAAATATTACATCCAAAACCTCGGGCACTCGCTAAATCTGGGCATTTTAAGTCGAGAGGTACATTCTTTCCTAAGGCCACGGAAAATCCATGCGTTAGGAAAGGAGTGCCCAAAATTGGTGCAGGAGGATTGGAAATTGCTATTGGTGTTAAAGAAATATTGTTTGAGTGCTGTGTCCAACCAGGAATTAGATTCAAGGATTCTTCCTTTGAGTAATCGTTGACTGTAAGCCTGAGGACAGAATTTATGTGAAAATCCCAAGTAGGGCATTCAAACAATTCATATACATCAAAGGACATTGGAACTGCATACCAGCGATAAAAATAACAACTAGCTGTAGGCAGTCCACATCCTTCACTCCAAACTGCAGAAGATTCGATGCATCCACTATGTCCTACATTGTTTGTTAGTTCTGCGAGTTCTGGGATGTGAGTTTTTGGTCCAACTCGGGAGCAAAAATTTCCAGAACACGAGCCACTAGTGGGGCATCTCCATACTGAACGTGTATTTATTTGGTAACTTCTGAGGTAGGCTATTGTCTTAGGATTACACACCAAGTTAAGTGATCGTAAGGTGAGTGTGACTGCTCCTAAAACTTCCCCTCTTTTATCCTTTATCAAAAGATTGTTTGGCTGACCAGCGGGCAACAAACTTAAGGTTGTTGAGCTGGTTATCTGACAATGACGGGTGCCATTCTTCACCCGGCAACTCTCTGACTGTGATATAACCGATACAGTATCAGAGTTGGCGAGAAGAATGGTCAGAGAAATGAGGATGGCCAATATTCCATATCGAGCGAGGCGACTGAGGCTCGCCTGTCTAAATTCTCTAGTTTTCCTTTTAACTTCTTTGGATGCATTGGTGGTTATTTTCTTTGCTGCCGCTTTACCTTTCCCAATTATTTCTCGCTTACTGATTTTGGCGTGAACTCTTTGGCGTCGAAGTAATTTGTTGAAGAATTTGAGGATAAAGCCAAAAGGACGGAAAATCCTTTGCATGGCCCCGCAAATACAACTGAATAATACGAGAAAAGGAAAAAGTATGCTGCAAGCTACGAAAACAGCTGTCTTCGGTTTGCAGCTTGGATTTAATAAAAGGTCGAGACAGAAATTACAATCAATTAATTGGCAAGGGTGAAAGGCCGAACATTGGACAGAAACATCGTAGGGACTTTCTTTATTAGTGTCCCAAAAGTTCGCCTTGCACTCGTACTTGTCCAATAACATTTCCTTAGGCAAAATGTGGTCAGTTTCTGGCTGCCCAGGAAATAGGTGGCAGTGGTCTGAGCAACATACTTGGACTTTGCTAATCCTTTCCGGGGCGAGTATTTTCACGCCGAATTTATTGCAATGAACGATGCACCCTTGACATTTAGAACAGTCGGTACATTCAAAGATTGAGGCATAAACTGGCGATAAAATGGATAGAGTAAGAAACAAAACCAATGGAATGGCGGCTGCTACAGTAACCTTACTGCGAGTTGTCATTCCATGTTTTGATCCTGCTCCTCTAGGATTTTCTTTCCTGATGTTATTTTGTTTATCTCTGAGTGGAGGAGGATCTTCTTCCGCCTCCTCTTCAAATGGTGGCATATTTAATGTAGATTTTGGAGAAACATGATTTGTTCGGTTAACATCCTCCGACGGAATATCCGGAGGGATGTTATCTTGTTCAGATAATTGATTAGTTTGGTCTGTTTGTTGCTGACCCACTTCGAGAGGGTATATTCGATTAACGGGACGAGTAGTAAGACGACCGTTCGGCATACGAAGCTTGACACTCCTAATTGGCCCTGGGTCGCCGTTTAATTTCTCTACTCGTGCCAGCGACCAGGTATTTCTCGGTTGTAATGCCTCTTCAACTAAAACTACATCGCCCAGTTTCGGGGGAGAGTTATTTTGTAGGCGCGGTCCGCTGTGGTCCCATTTCGAATTGTCTCGAAGCATAATTAAATATTCCTTCCTCCAACGCTCCCAAAGAGAGTCTAGATTCTCTAAAGTCCCTTTCCAATGAGCGAGGAGCTGTTCATGAGGTTGTAGATGGTCTGTCTTCTTGAGTTTATTTGCTGGCTCATAACTGAGGGTAGAACCAGGATGAATGAAATCTATAGGACGAAGTGGTAGAGGAGCACCTTCACCGTCTGATACATGGGTGAGAGGTCTCGAGTTAAGAGCAGCTTCCACCTCCGCTATGAAGGTGGACAACTGATCATAAGGTAGAATTTGCTTGCCTAATGTCCTTTTAAAGCATGATTTGGCTAATCCAATTAGCCTTTCATATACACCTCCAGCCCAAGGGGAGAGTGCGGGAATGAATTTCCATTCTATTTTATTTTCAGCCAGGAGAGGCGGCAAGGCTGAACTGATGGCTTTCTCAGCAAGAACGAAATTTCTTCCGTTATCGCTAAGAACCTTTTCAGGTCTCCCTCTCCTGCTAATAAATCGACGGAAGACATTAATGAATGATAATGCGGTAAGATCAAGTGAAGGCTCGAGATACACAGCTCTTGTCGTCAGACAAGTTATGAGTACCAGCCAACACTTAATGTGCACTCCGTTGAATTTAGTGAGCGTAGGACCGGCGTAGTCGATTCCAATCGACTGGAATGGACGTCTCTGTTGAACGCGGTCAGAAGGAAGCGGTGGCATTTCAGGTAAGGCATACTTATAGGAATTCATTTTCCTACAAGCCATACACTCAGAAATGACACTTCGCACTGCTTGACGGGCTCTAGGTTGCCAATATTGTGTTAGATATTCTGTTAAAGTCCAGTCTACTCCCCCATGGCATAAATTTTTATGTATGTGAGCCATGAGGAGTTTTCCGGCACTTGAGTTTTTTGGTAGCAGAATTGGATGGATTAAGCCCTCCGGGCTTTTACTGTTTGTTATCCGGGTTTGAAGGCGGATGATTTCCTGATCGTCTATTATGTGCTTGTATTTCTGAAGTTCCTCTGAGCATTCTCGTTGCTCCCATTTAATTAAATATCTCTCTGCCAAAGTGATGTCCGCGGCTGTTAGAGGCCCATTTTCGGATACCGATTTCAGGCCAATGGTTGGGGCTCCTTTTATCCCGAGTATAACCTTGATGAAACGGAGTATGTAGATCATAATTCTTCTGGATTTAGACCAAGAGCTCGAGCGGTTCAATAGCTGATGGCTTTCGCGCGAGGTCACCTGGACTGGGAGAGATAAAATTTGGTCAGTGTAGATTTCTTCAGTTTCGTTTTCTGTGAGGTTAAATGAGTCGAAAGTCGGGTCCTGAGGCCAGTTGGCTCTTCCTTGTGCCAACCATTTGGGACCGGACCACCATAACCGACTCTGATTAAGCTCTTGAGGTGATAACCCCCTGGTGGCTAAATCGGCCGGATTTTCATCAGTTCGAACGTAGTGGAATGTTATGTTGACGTGTTTCTTTATCTCATCAAGCCTCCTTTGAACAAAGGTGGGTTGATTTTGAGATGACTTAACCCATGAGAGGGCGATTTGGGAATCACTCCATAAGTGAATTTCAGCCAGAGGCACTCCTATTTCTTTCTCTATATAGGCAGTGGCTCTAACTCCGATGAGAATTGCTATCAATTCCATTCGTGGAATTGTCAAAGTTTTGCCTCCCTTTTTAGGCTTGAGGCGATTCTTTGAGAATATAAGTGAGGTGGTTACGATATTCTTATTCACACCTCTTAGGTAACTAGCGGCAGCGTAGGCGCATGATGAAGCGTCTACAAATGTGTGAAGTTCAATTTTGTCGGTACTAATTGAGAGTGTTTGAGTCTCGCCACCCTTTGAGAAAATGTTCCCAAACGGACGATTCTTCCTCGGAAAGGGGACTGTCCCAGTCTCGTCCCTCGTCCCATAGTTTCTGAAAGAATAACTTGGCTGGGAGGATTGAGGGAGATAATAGGCCTAGCGGGTCATAAATGCCGGCCAGAGAACTGAGAACAGCTCGTCTCGAGGTGTTCGATTTAATTCCTTCTTTCGGTAAGAGGAAACTAAGTTTGTCTGTTTGTGTATTCCAACGCATTCCGAGAACTTTAGGTTCCTTTGAGTCTAGGCGGTCTTTTTCCGGAATGGCTTTCATTAGTTCACTGGAATTTGAAGAAAATTCACGAAGATTCATTCGTGCTTCGGAAAATATCTCTTTCGCCCGTTGGCACTTGTCAAGGAGCTCAGGCCAAGTTTCAGCGCCTAAATGGAGGTTATCCACATAGAGGCTGTTGGCTAGTTCCGCTGCAACTCCTTTACCATATTTGCCAAGGTGGTGACGAATTACTCCCGCTAAGAGATAGGGGGAACAAATTACGCCAAAGGCCACTCTTGCAAATCGGTAATATTGAATGTTTTCTCCTTCGGGTGGTCTAGAAATGTCCTTCACCCAAAGAAATTTTGCGAATTCACGGTCGGAAGGATGTAATCCGACCATCAAAAATGCGGATTCTATGTCGGATATTGCGACATATTTTGGTAGTCGGAACCGAATTAGCAATCCGACGAGCTCTGGTAGCAAGACTGGCCCTCGCAACAGGCAATCATTCAACGATGGTTGCCCCCGAGGGTGAGCGCTGGCGTCGAAAACTGGTCTAATCTTGTGGGTAATAACGGCATGATGGGCCAAATAGTGTTCTTGGCCTTCTGCGCTTCTTTTTGCTGGTTCAATGATTCCTTGCTTCAGGTAATCTAGGAAAACTTTATTATATTTTCCCAATAGATCGGCTGATCGATGAAGGCTAGTGTAGGTGGAACAAAGTCGGCTAAATGCCATTCTATAATTGCTAGGTAATGGGGCTCTAGGTTCGCGCCATAACCAACTAACTGAGTATCGTCCTTCATCATCCTGAGTTATTGATGTTTCCAATTTATTTATGGCTATCTGGTCATCGTCAGCAGCGGGATTTTCCTTAATTCCAATGCTCTCTAGACTCCAAAATTCCTCTATTGTATTTGATGGTGGCATTTGGTCTACGCATGTTTTACCTACCGCGGCTAAGGAATGCGACAATTTACCTCCCTGAGGACTCATGTCGGATTCACCTCCCACGACTGGACCAAATACTGTTTGTATGACGAATAGACCTGGGGCAACTTCAGTCTTGCCCATAAAATATTTCCAGAAATGTCGGGTACCGAGCATAATCCCCGGAACCTCCGTAGACAGCTCAATCGCTTTACGAACCTCCGGCAAATCGGTAGCTCGGGTAGGCATTTCGGCCACCCAGTTAGCCATTTCAAATGATGTACTGATTTCTTTTGTCCAATTAAGTTCCAGGTCTTCCCATCCTCCGTCCTCTCTTGCAATAGCAACGGCGTAAGACGGGGAGCGGATCCTGATAGGGTCACGCAGCGTTCCTCCAAATCCGTGGACCTCAACATCGTCCCGCGCAATTTGAGGAGGCCGCAACTGGTTGGCGAGTGAACTTGAAATATAACTTAACTGGCTTCCAGGATCGAAGAAAACAAATGCTGGAATTTCTTTGTAAAGCTCTTTCGGTGAAGCAACTGCTATCTTTCTAGTCATAAGATAAGCAGTTGGCTTTTTGCGTAAATGTCCGTAGGCGACGGCGGAAATTGCTTTGCTCGTCTCCTCTTCTTCAGTGTTAGTGATTTGTTGAGTAAGATTTGAACCTGTGCCGGGACCCTTATCTCTGGTCGCGGCCATTTGAGAAAACTGCTTGTTTGGTTTTTGCTTGTTTGGTGGACGATTCGGTGCCTTGGGTGTAAAAGTCGGACGTCCCTTCGTACAAACCAAAACGTGGTGACCCTCCTGGCATTGCGCACATACTCTAAAGGAAGAGCATTCTTTAACAAAATGACCTTCGTTTAAGCAACGCATGCATCGTCCTTGTTCCTTTAAGCGACGAAGGCGGTCTTGAGGCGTTGGATATTTAGGGCATTGTGAGGGAAAATGCCCGAGAGTGCCACACAACGAACATTTACGCGCTCTATTCCTAAAGCGGTTAAATGTTGGTCGCTGATGTGAGGGTGCCCCAAAGGCACGTGTCAATTCAGGCTGCCCTCTGTCAGGGGGCCCCTTGTTTCTATGAATGTGGGTCTGTGCTACCTCATGTTTTACTCGGTTTACTGTAGCACACCTCTGAACTTCTTCGCGGATCTCCACGATCTCGCGCAATTCTTTTCTAAGCTGAGCACAATTCCATCTCGCTCCCGAGCCCCTCTCTTTCTCAATTAACTTAGAGATGATCGCCTGGGGCAGCTTTGACTTGATGGCGGTTGAGACGAAGGGGGACGTGTCCACGTGCCCGTAGGCCTCAAGCTGTCTGCAGATCCTTTCAACTGAATCTACAAATGAGCGGAGGGAATGACTGCTCTCATTTGCGTGGTGGAGGTTCATAAGTTCGGCCTCAAGGGCTTCGGTGATAGCCCTACTATCTCCATAACGTGATTTAAGCAGGTCAAGAGCCCGCGAGTAGTTCTCATTCGACAGAACAAACCCCGCGACTAACTCTTTAGCTGGTCCCTGAAGAAATGTTAAAAGGTAGCTCATTTTCCGAATATCATCCATCGGACGCTGATCAATGTTTGATGAAAATAACTGCCAGAAAGTAGGCCATTTCTTCGGGTCCCCGTTAAAAGGGTCCAGCCGAAGTTCTGGCAACCGAATTTCCGGCTGCCATCGATTGGCCATGTCTGGATTAAACTGCTGTTTTGGCTGTTGATATGCCTGTTGATTGACTTGCTGGTTGACGTGTTGATATTGTTGTTGGTTGAACTGTTGATTGACTTGCTGAAATTCTTGTTGGTTTACTTGCTGGTTGAATGACTCTTCTCGATAAGAGTGCTCTAGTAAGGATTCATGCTGGTCCTGCCCTCGCTCGGCTAGAGTCCGATCCGACTCTAGGCTAGCTCTGCTGCTGGCTTTGCCTTCTTGTTCGCTGATTAGGTAGTCGATCTCATTTAGAACTCCTCGCGCTTGCTCCGCGATTTCCATGAAATGTACGTGTACGTGTTGTGCTTCTTCTGGTGCTGGGGGAGGGAAATTATAGTAAATTTGCTCCTCGGCCTCCAGCAATTCGCCCTCCAGGTGATCAATGAGGTTAGCCCACCTCTCATTGAGATTGTCGACCCGATCCAGGGTCCGACTGAGGTGATGCTGCTCACCTCGTAATTGTTCGAGATCTCGTTCGGCACCAGCTCTAACCAAAGCGGTGGCGGCAGCCAGATGAACCTTTAGGGCCCTTAGTGCGGGGCCAAGTTGACTTCGGAGTGTTCCTGATGATGGCATATTAACTTGTGTTTTAAAGGGAATTAAAGGCCGGCTCGGGCTTAATTGCTTTTATTTTTAAATAAAATTAAATTTTATTTATTTTTGTAAAAACTCAACAGTTTTTACTTTTTTGATGAAAAAGTGTAGAAGTAGATAAAAGACTGTTGCCCGTGACAGTCAATAGAAAAATGTGAAGAAAGTTAGGCGATGTCCCCTTTGGGAAGTGCAATCGCTCTTTTGTTTTGTGTAGTTAGGAAAAAACTACACAAAAGGAGAAGTGGCTGACTTGAGCCCACTTTAAGAAGAGAAGAAAAAGTTGACTGCAGGTGCAGTGAAAGTTTGTGTCCTAGTGCGGACAAAAATGTTTATAGCCGGCGCGGGCAAAAATTTAAACAAATGAATGGGTAAAGTGATGGCCTGACACGGCTGCAATCACTAAAGAAAAGTATGGCTGCTACGGCCAAAGTACAGTGAAGCCCAAAATTGGCGCCTGTCACTGACAGAAAAAATGTGTGGCTGCTAATGGCCAAAGTACAGTGAAGCCCAAAACTGGCGACAATCACTGACTGAGAAGAAATGTGGCTGCTAGTGGCCAAAGAAGAGGTGACTGCAAGCTACGGCAGAAGATCACCTATGAAATATGTAGACCCGGCTCAGGGGTAAGTAAAATGCAGAACAACCTAAGTGTTGTTGTGCTTAAGTGACGGTCCAGCTTTGGGACGGCGACTCACTTAAAAATGTGTATGAAACAGAACGACCTAAGTGTTGTTCTGTTTAGGTGACGGTCCAACTTCGGACAGCAACTCACCTAAAAAATGTGTAAGGCCCAGCTCTGAGGCAAGTAGAAGACAGAGCAACCTTTAGTTGGTCTGTGGTAAATACGGGGGCAGTGCTTTTGGACTGCCAAGACCCGTACGGGGCTCCAAAAATAATGTGCGGAAAGTAGAGAAGGGCACAATACCTCGAACTCAATTGAGGAGGGACAGGAGAGATTCGACCGGATCGAATCAACTCCTTAGTTTTTAGCGGGCAACGGAGATCTTCAATCTCCAGAAAACAAATTCCTTAGTAAACACACAAAACACAGAAACACAATCAAAATGTTTATTTAGTTAAAATAAGATTATAAATGAAAGTGCCTCGGGGGAATATAAGCCGAGCACAAGTTTGGGCTGCAGGTCAACAAAGCAGGCCCTTGTGGTCTCTAGGTATATTGAAATGTGAGCAAATCAAAAGTTGGTAATAAGTGATTGGCAGAGCTCAGAAAGCGCTGGCAATAAAAGCAAGTGAGAAATAAGCAAGTAAAGGGTAGAAAACAACAACTAAAAAATGACGGTAAAGCAAGTGATTAAAGAGAGTAGGCCAAAACATTATATAGGGGTAAAAAATGGGCGTAAACAAATAGATTTTAAGAGAGAAAAGAAAATTGTAAAAAAGTGTGTTTTGAGCGGGGAAAGAAGTAAAGGTTAAAATATTAATTAATAAAATTAAAATGGGATTTTAAGTGCCCTTTGGGCACATTCACATTTATTTTTCATCCTCAAAACCACTTACAAATTTTCTGTTTATTTTTATAAAAAACAGAAAATCATTATTTTAAAGTCATTAGTCAGAAAATCGTCTGATATTTACAGTTCGAATATTGGATCAAGATATCCAGTGATTTCCCAGGATAAGACAATTCAATAGAAGGTAAAATTAATGAGAAAAAACGAGTATTTATGTGTCGGAAAAGGCGGGATTTGAATATTAAAATGGGCAGACAGTTGTAAAGGTTTTTTAAAGTTTGAATGTTTAGATAAAGGATATTTTGAGGGAATGGTTTGAATGTTTTAATAAAATGGAATCAGATTTTCGAGGGGCATATTTTAAATTTAATAAAGAAACATTAAAGTAGTTTACAATGAGGAAATTTAAAATAAATTGAAATACATTAATAAAATAAAATAAACTTTCTAGAATAAATTGATAAGGAATATTTAACTTATGTTTTTAGAGGTATAGAAAAAACCTATAAAAAATGCAAGACTTTTTAAATTAAATTTGTGATATTTAATTAAATATTTAATTTAAATTTTATCTAAAATTATCGGGATTAAATTGATTTTTGTAAATGAATTTCTGAGATTTAGCCAATTATCTAATGCTTTATGAACTTTATTTTTAATAAATATTTTTAATAAACTTTATTTTTAATAGCATTTATGGGACATTTATTATTTATAATGAAATTACAATATTTTCTTCTTGGACACACAGCTTTATTACAGATTGAAAAAAACTATGTTAAAATAATCGTCACTGTTCTTCTTCCTTTTACTCAATATCCTCATGAATAAAAGGTTGCTCAGCAAATTCGTACTGCAATGCTAGTTTAGGCTGATTTGTACGGATATATTTAATATCTTTAATAGCCAATTCAATGCTGGGCTAAATTAATAAATATTTTTAAATTTCGTTCAGTGTCCTACGTTAATTTTGTGACATTTATATACTTGATAATCTTAGTATCGAACCTTTCCTCAAGGCTTTCATTATGGGCTATCTCTTGGCCTGATCGCTATCTCTTGGCCTAATAACGCTATACTGGTTGATATTCAAATCAGAAGCTGATGGTAGTTGTGGTGTATACTGATTTCCTTCATCTAACCACAATTCCCCCTTCGTCTAGATCAAGTAGTTCTAGTTATAAACCACTAACATAACATAAAAACACGTATCCTTTACCTCTAAATAAAAATATCCCTTACCCAATTATTATAATCATTTCCTTCAGCATATGTTTTGGGTAAAAGAATATGCGAAATATAAATTATAATATGCCCATCCTCAACTTTGCAACTTCCAGGCATTTTAAATTCTTTCTCCGTATTAGCATCAATTTCATGAATTTTGTTTTTCCCACCAAAATGGCCGGTTTTATTCCCTCCATTACAAAACATATGAACACCAAATTTGGCATGGTTTTGTTCATTAAAAGGGATTAACCCTTCATTTCTGGTATTTATGAAAGGTCTTATTTTTAAAGTTAATGTTTTATTTGTTGCGCCAGTTTTTGTAATAATGATGGTGAAAATAAAGCAAAGGCAGAAATAAATCATTTTTTGAGAGGAAGTTTGATAAAAGGGCGATATTTGAGGAGAGAATGATATTCTTATATATACAGCCTGTTATCGTTGTTTTGTCAGAATTTCATATGCCAGACTTAATCTAATCATCATTAGACTTGCACTTTATAGACTTGCACTCTATAACAGACAAAATTTATTGTTGATAATAAAATGATTTCCGTGTAAGCTTCGTCTGGCACGAGCAATAAGAAAAGTTTAATTAGTATTATTTGCACTTTATATACAGGGTGACACAAAAGGTTATGACAATATCTATTTGCCGAGTTGGAATCCGTTGATTTCTTTTTGATTTATTTAAAAGGCCAGGGTCTGAGCTTATTAACCCAAAAGCTTGGAGTCACTCCTGCAATCACTCATTCGTAAATGGTAGAAAATCTCGCACAATATATGTATAGTACTACTAGGACTGGCAACTTTAATTGAACGTACAGAATATTAACAGACCTATGGCAACATATTACTTTAAATAAATAAAAAAAAATTTTTTTTAATTTTTATTTAACATTTCAATCAAGTTCCGGTTAATAATTTTTCGATGGAGGGCTTGAGGAATAGAATAAATTTTTAGGCAAAAATTTAAAAATTTCTAAAAATACATATTTGCTTGAAGTTAAAAATTACTATTGAATTTTTATTAATTTTATTGTAATTAAAACCGTTGTAATTAATACACGCCTAAGGTATTTCTTCACAAATTTTCACTAGAAATGTTTTTCCATCATTTAAAATTTAGATAATATTCCGATTATTCTCTTCCACAATTATATTAAATTTATTTTTATTATTCAAATCCTTTATTCAATAGCACACCTGTCTAATCCTCATTTACATGCTGATAAAATTAAAAATTTTGTAATTACTAAATACAGTGCTCCACATAACTATAGTTCCACCCCTATTTTCGTCTTTTTTCCATTTAGACCCCAAAAATTTTTTAAATTTTTGTTTAAATATTGTCCTCAGGTACTTAAAAGACTAATAAAAAATCAAAATTTAATTTTGGGATTAAAATTACTTGTGTTTTAAATATTTTATTGGAAAACACCTCCACATAACTATAGTTCCACTTCCCAAAAAATTATTTCCAACATTAGGAAAAATCTACAAAAATTTTAGCAAACTTATATAATTATATTATAAAAAAATAAAAAAAACTGGACCAATACCTTTATCCTAAGACGAGATCCTGATACCTCGAAAATCAACGTAAAACTGGGGTTTTCAAATTGAAAAAATATTTTCGACCCCTTATGGATTACTGTACTGTTTTTACTGTTTTTGGGGTCTAAATGGAAAAAACACGAAAATACGGGTGGAACTATAGTTATGTGGAGCACTGTATTACTGACTACATTTTTTAATGTAATCATTTCAATCATTAACATAAATGGAATATTTCTGTAAAAATAATCTTCCATAATAAATTTCATAATAATTTTGGTATTTTGTATCCTGCATGTATTAATATCTATAAACTTTAAATATACCTAAAATATGTTGTCAAAGCAACACAAAAATTAATTTTCTTAAATAATTTAGAGAGAAATTGCAAGCTAAAATTAATCTTTGTATGCTGACTAGGGATCCTGTTAACATAAAAAATAAAGCGAAAATTTTATTTCCCGATCTCGAAAACGGGATTCCTGGCCACAAAAAAATCTCGCGATTCTTGCCAAAATTTTAAAATAATTCTCTCTCCATCTGTGTAAATAATTAAAAATTATTCTTCATTTTCGGTTATTTGTAAGCCTAAATATAATATTAAATTAAATATTTTATTTCGATTAAATTAAAAATCAATTTATATATTTAATTTTTTCCTCCTCTAAATTAGTAGATATTTTATTATTTTTGAACATTTTATCATTTAATTATCAATAAAATAAAAAATGTTCGATAAAGTAATTTCTGGAGGGAGAAGGAAGACCTTTCGAGCCATTCATTGAAATCATTATTGTTAACCATAATTTTCCATGTATATCGAAGGATATAGAATTTTTCGGTTATTCAATTTCTAGATAAATAACAAAATTAATTATCAATTTTTTCATTTTCAAGTTATTAATTTTTTAAATTGCCATAACACTAAAAATAGGGGGACAGAAAACACAGTCTTTAGTATTACCATTTTAAATTCCTGATTTCGGGAATTTGGAATTCCTAATAAAAAACAAAAATATCCGATTTTCAGTTATTGAGACAACGGGATCCCGTGTATATACACTGCTCCACAAAAGTATAGCGCCAGCCCTATTTTTCTCGGTTTCAATACTGTAACCGTAGTTTTTATTTTGAAACTTTTTTGTAATGATTAATAGTTGTCTTAAATATGGTTTGTAAAAAAATTTTGTTAACAAATCAATTTTTTCAATAGTTATAGGCAAATCACTAGTTTTAGGGTTCCACAAAAGTATAGCGCCACTTTGAAATTTCGAGTTTCTAATATCAACAAAAATCTGCAAAAATTTGTGCTAACATATTTATCGATTCTAAGAAAAAATCAAAAAGAATTAGACCCATATCTCACTTCAGTGTCGAGATCCAGATACCTCGAAAATCAACGTAAATCGGGGGTAAGGCTATTTAAAAAATATTTTCGACTCCTTAGGGTTTGTTTTAAATTTTCAATTTGGGCTCATTTGAAAGCCCTTAAAATTTGCTACAAGATAGCATAAGTCTTATTTTCTAGAAAAATTATTTCTTTAAGTTACTAAGTTTTAAATGTCTAAAACACAAAAAACGCCCAAATGCCCCATGAAATTAGCTCCGGAAGATTAACGTCCTGTATATCTCTATTGAATTTTTTCTGAGATATATGAGCATTACCATCTTATAGCAAATTTTAAGGGCTTTCAAATGAGCCCAAATTGAAAATTTAAAACAAACCCTAAGGGGTCGAAAATATTTTTTAAATAGCCTTACCCCCGATTTACATTGATTTTCGAGGTATCTGGATCTCGACACTGAAGTGAGATATGGGTCTAATTCTTTTTGATTTTTTCTTAGAATCGATAAATATGCTAGCTTAAATTTTTGTAGATTTTTCTTAATGTTAGAAACCCGAAATTTCAAAGTGGCGCTATACTTTTGTGGAACCCTAAAACTAGTGATTTGCCTATAACTATTGAAAAAATTGATTTGTTAACAAAATTTTTTTACAAACCAGATTTAAGACAATTATTAATCATTACAAAAAAGTTTCAAAATAAAAACTACGGTTACAGTATTGAAACCGAGAAAAATAGGGTGGCGCTATACTTTTGTGGAGCAGTGTATCATTACTTACACACTAGAATAGCAACGACAATTCTTGCCAAAATTATAAAATAATCCTCTCTCTCCCATCTGTGTAAATAATTAAAAATTATTCTTCATTTTTTTTATTATTTTATATCCATATTCATTTTTATTATAAGCTTAAATTCACATTAAGTTCACTTTATTCAAATAATTTTTAATTTAAATATTTTATTTCGATTAAATTAAAAATCAATTTATATTTTTAATTCCTTTCTCCTCTAAATTAGTAGATATTTTATTATTTTTAAACATTTTTTATCATTTAATTATCAATAAAATAGAAAATCAATAAAATTAAAAAAATATTCTTTAAAGTAATTTCTGAAGAAGGGAAGGAAATAAAGTAAAATTCAATGGAAACAAATAAAAATAAATTTCAAGTAGTAAAGAAAAATATTCCATTTCCAACAAGATGTTGTATTTGTGGAAATATTGCTAGCGGATTTATTTATTATAATGTTATGTGTTGTGATGGTTAGAAAATATTTCTAAAAAATTTTTTTAAACAAATTTCGGTTTTTCTAAAGGTTGCAAACATTTCTTTCGACGTTCTCTTAATGCACAAGAATTGTTCAAATGTAAATTTGATGGAAATTGTGATGTTATGAGGGGTATGGAAGTTATGAAAATTTGGGAATTTAATGGCTATTCCGCTTCTGTTGTATCCTCTATTCTTTTTTACGGCCTTTATTTTTTAATGAGAGTTAGATTCCTATCACTTTTTTAGCCATTTTTTGACCTTTCTTAAAAACACGAATTTTTCTCATGCAAACATTCCTTATTATTAGGGATGGGATTTATATGGATTTCCATATTTTTTTCCTGAAAACGTTGGGTTCTGAAACGTCCAAAAAACATGTTTTTAGCATATGGTGATAAGGCCGTTTTTGAGTTATCAATCCATATTTTCCTATTTTTTCATATTTGGGCGTTCCGTCAATATTTTCCATATTTTATCCATATTTCGTCATTTTTTGTAAAATTTTGCCAAAAATTGGTTAAAATTTTCAAATTTATGAAATTTTTGGTCAAAAATTTTTAAAAAAACTTTTTTGAAAAAATTTTTTCGAAAAAATTTTTGAAAATTTTTTTATAAAAATTTTGACCAAAATTTTTCAAACAATTTTCGACTCAAATATTATCCAAAATATTTTTAGAAACAAAATAACTACTATTAATTGGTTTATTTGTAATAATCTGCATCAAAATTAACTTAATTAACATTTTCTGCTTAAAAATAAAAATTTTTTCGTTAAAAATTTTCAATTTTCGGCCCATATTTGATCCATATTTTGGATTTTAGTTCATATTTCAGTCCATATTTTTCGATTGATAGTCCATATAAATCCCATCCCTACTTATTATGTATAGGGAGGTGTTTAACAGGGGTGTGCCGTTTCGTCTTTCGCCTTTCGTCTTTCGCCTTATTTTCGTCTTTTTTGGTGTTTCGCCTTTTCGTCTTTCTTGTTTCGCTTTTTAAAATGACTTTCGCCTTTTCGCCTTTCGTCTTTCGCCTTTTAAAATCTGTTTCGGCACATCCCTGGTGTTTAAGTCTATTAAAATGATCCTTTTAGTCCATTCAGACGAATATCCTATAGATCTCTTTATATACAGTATATCTCTTTAAATCTTTATCTGAGAATGAGTGAGAATCCGGATTAGCTTAATTTAGTTTAGGCTAGTAAAAATATGTAGAATTAGGAACCTCAACCACAATTTTTTCGAATTTTTTAATAGTTGAGCTATTTAATCTAAGCGACACCGAACCTAGAAACCCCGAAATATTCTCTCTAATTTTTAAAGCATCTAATAAATGCAAAAGCTGCCGTTTTGATAAATGTATTTTAATGGGAATGAATATACAAAAATTACGAAATCCACAACAATCTACTATTACTTTTTGGAAAATACTTTCGAAAATTGAACAACGATTGGGTGAACTTGCTTTAATTGGAAAATATGTTGAAAAAAGAAATAAAAGTTTTTTTAGTAATGAGGAAGTTAATTCACCGTTTATGGTAAAAAATACTTTTACATGTTTAAGATTTATGAGCTAACCAGACAAGGACACGGATACTGATTTTGGTATCCGTATCCGGATATTTACGGCGGATACAGACGGATATCCGCAGGCATTTTTATAATATCTGTATCCATATCCATGACCATGTCTGGAGCTAACTAAGCCTTTACTTACACATTCTAAGGGATGAAAATTTTTTTTATCTGAAAAATTTTTTTTGATTATTTGTAAAATGGGGTAATTGCCTTTTTGTCTTAAAATAACGGTCAGATACCTACATTATTTTAAAGTTGAGTTTTAATTAAAAAAATATTCTTCTAGCATACAATACTAAGGTTGGCGGTTCCGGGTATCCGGAACCGAAAAAACCTCGGATATCCGGAAATTTTCGGTTCGGATACCGGTTCCGGTTCCGGATACCCGAAATTTTCGGTTCGGATACCGGTTCCGGTTCCGGATATCCGAAAGTTTCGGTTCGGATATCGGTTCCGGTTCCGGATATCCGAAATTTTCGGTTCGGTTCCTAGAACTAGGGAAAAAAGAAGAAAACTTCCCCAATGGCCTTTCAAACTTTTCAAAATTTTCGCCTGCGGCGCCGAAAAGGGAAGAATCCTGGCTTAAGGATCTTCCAAAATTCTCAAAATTTTTGCCTGCGGCGCAAAAAAAGGAAGAAAATTGGCCCTGGATTTTCCAAAATTATAAAATTTTCGCCTGCGGCGCTGAAAAATCAAAGAAAACTGACTTAAGGACCTCCAAAATTCTTAAACTTTTCGCCAGCGGCGCAGAAATTGAAAGAAATCTGGAGCCTTGGCTTACCATAATTTTTAAAATTTTTGCCTGCGGCGCTAAAAGTGAAAGAGTTGTAAGCTCACATACGGTGCTTATTTACAAGTTTAAAAAAATGTTGATGTATTTGGATGTCATATAGAGGGATCAAGGATGATGAGACTAGACGGGATATATCAATAATAATAATATCAAAGGGGATATATGATTAAATTTAAATATCAATAAATCCCCGAGAGATATAGGTAGATCAATAAATCCCTCTATATCTCTCGTCATTGCCAACCTCCAGCTCTTAATCCACCAATATACCCGATGTCTCTATTAATTCCCCAAATTAATAGAGACTGTTAATCGTAAATTCCCTCAATATCTTTGTTAATTCCACAAATCCATTCATATTGATCTTAATTCCTTTATATAGAAAGAGTTTGCAAAAGTTTAGCCACCGGGCAGGATTCGAACCTGCGACCACCTGCTAGTTGTTGCTAGGCTTTCGCTCACTATATGCAGGAGCTCTACCGTTGAGCTACCGGGGCATCGACTAATGCTTTCTCTTTTTCCTTTTTAGATCGTTTATCCCCCGCCTAAGCGTTTTAAATGCTGCTAGGTGAATCATCCTTACAATATCATCCATTGTGACTTAACTTTACAGCGCCGCAGGCGAAAATTTTGAAAATAAAAATTTCGGTTCCGGTTCCGGATACCCGAAATTTTCGGTTCGGATATCGGTTCCGGTTCCGGATATCCGAAATCTTCGGTTCGGATACCGGTTCCGGTTCCGGATATCCGAAAATTTCGGTTCGGATACCGGTTCCGGTTCCGGATATCCGGAGATTTCCTAGGAACCGCCATCCTTATACAATACTTCTTGAAAATGACGAAACTAAAATAATTGGAAATTTATGTTTATTAGAGAAAAATGTTCAAAGAATTAGAAATTCGCCTACACAAATAACTGATAAACATTTTGATTTTTCTTATAAGACATTAGAGGAAGTAGTTATTAATCGAAAAGAAAATTCAATTTTTAAATGTAATGAATATGTGGTTTGTTTTTACATATGATTAAATATAAGCAATATAAGGCTTTAGTAAATGAAGTTGCCAGGTTGTGCGAACATATCGGGATTGGTGTGACAAAAATAATTTCCTGCTCTAAAAAAATAAAAACTCTATTCCTAAATAGGATAATATACTATCCAAGACCCAGTGGCCGTAGGTCCCGAAATCAGTAGGGTAACTGTTCGTACATTGAGATATCCCCATATGTCCGTCCAGATATATCCGCGTGCCGTTGCCAGTCGTATTTTTAATTTGTACTCAACCAATCTTATGCTCTATTGTATTTTTTCTGTGTGCCAACCGCTTGTTCGGTTGCTTATAATTGAAAATACGAGCACAAACATCTGATACAACAAAATGTTTAAGTATATAATTTTGGCTACTAATTGTCACTTTCTGACACTAAAAATATTATTAACAAAATTTTTAAAATTAGATAATAAAATAAGAATATTTTGTAAATTAAAATTTAATTAAAATTATTCTTTTCAAAGATTGAAGAACAAAATTTTCTAAAAGAAGAATATATTGAATTTGTTCATAAAAACGGCTTTTTCTCTTTACGACCTGTTACATTAATTGAGGACTTTATTTTAATGATTGATATAGCAAAAACAATGCCTTTCTTCTATAAATTGGATTTAACTGATATTGTAACTATTTTAGATTAATTTATTCCAATCAGGGTGGCCCTTTTACCCTATTTATAGAGGATTTTCCCTATTTTTGACCTTTTCGCCCTATTTTTTCCCTATTTTCTCATTTGCCATATTTTTGCCCTATTTTTACCCTTTTGTAAAATTTTAAAAATTCTTAGGATTTTGTAAAAAATGGTAAAAATGAAGGATTTCTGACCTTCAAAATCCTCAAAAATTTTTGCCTGCGGCGCAAAAAATGGAAGAAACTGGCTTCTAGCCTCCCAAAATCCTCAAAATTTTCACCTGTGACGCTAAAAATGGAAGAAATTTGGCTACTTTGCCTTCCGAAAGTCTCAAAATTTTCGCCTTATTTGAAATTTTAATTGTGTTTAAGCTTTTAAAGATATGCCCTAATTTTTGCCCTATATTTGGCCGATTTCGCCCTATTTTTGAGTGGTTGCGCCCTATTTTAGTGTTTTGGAAGGGGCCACCCTGATTCCAATATTAGAGTTGTGCCCTGTCCCCGTCCCCGTCAGTCGGACAATTTGAAACTTTTGAAAATTACAGCCCCCCTCCTCCAATGTGACCCGTGGTTCTCTCCCCCTCCCCGTCGTCGAACACCTCTACTAGTCATGCATCCAATGTTAAACGCTTTGTAGACTTTTACGGATTTTAAAATCTGCTTTTACATCCTTAACATTCCTTTCTTTTCTGGACCATCGGCCACATGTTATAGCAGTTGAGCTTTCTGTATTTCTTAAAATTAATAAGCTATCTTAGATCAGAGAAATGTTAAGGATACCCAAAAGTAAACTTTGTATCCGTGAAAATCCACAAGAACTTTCTTAGTAGAATAAACTCCACGTCCTAAACTAGAGCTCAAAAAATATTTTTACACAGATTTATCAACTTACATATGTATCTTTGCCTCTTTTATCGTTGGCAAACATCTGTTATTCTTGTAATAAACAGTCAAAAACAGTTATATTACCAGATGGAGTACCCTTAATTGAAGTCTATGGTGGAGAATATTATAAAGAAGATTTAACGTAAAATTAAAAAAATATTTTTAAATTTTTTTAATTTTAAAGATTAAATAAATTACTCCAAAAAATATTTATAACAGTTATGGAACCTTATAATCGGGTTAAAATAGAAGATGAAGAATATGTACTTATCCGTGCCATAATTTTTTCACATTTTGTTACAAATGGTCTTAGCAAGGAAGGACAAAAATTTTTACTTTCCGAGTCAGAAAAATATTGTGGAATATTAATGAGAATGTTACAGGTATTTTAGCAGTGTGTATAATTAATCCAATTAGAGTAGCATGAGGTCGAGACCTCGCTGTCGAGGAATCTCCGATTTTTTAAACCTCAACCTCAAAATTGAGATCAAGGCCTAGACCATAAGCCTCAACCTAGGAATTGACTTTTTTGGAAGAAATCTGCTTATTGTCCTTCCAAAGATCTTAAAATAATCACCTATAAAAATTATGAGAGGATTGAAACAGATGAATTTGATAATGATCTAGTGTATAGTATATTAAATTTAGTAAATTTAATTAAATTTTGAAATTTATAAAAATTTAAAACCCTCGGTTATCTTTGGTCCTCGACACAGGTTTCAGCTTCAGATTTGCCCCTTGACCTCTGTAATGCCTCTAAACCTCGACCTTATAAAAATATTAATTATGTAGAAACGTTATGGTCAACTACGAGGAGCAACAAGATATGCAGAATTGCTTCATATAGTCGAATTTTGTTTCAAATGTGGATATAATTCAAGCATTTTCTTTAATTATCTGGATAATGTAGTAGATCGAGGACGCTTAGAGAAAGTAGTGCCTGCGCCATTTATTGACCTTTGCCTTCAATGCAAAAATGTGAAATAATTGGAAATTACTGAAATTTAAATCATAACAATCTACCTATTCTATTTTCTTATAATATTTTTCATCAGTATCAAATCCCGCGGGATTTGAATACCGTATTTGCTAAAATAAAGCCCCAGAGGCTTATTTTTCAACTATCCTCAAAGTGGGGCTCTATTTTAGGGTAGGGCTCTAATTAGAGGTATAATACTAATTTACTGGGTCGATTTTTGCATCCTTCTCTCATAGAACCCATGCATAAACGTTTTAAATGCTGCTAGGTAATCATCCTGACAGGGATTGATCCTGAATTTGCTTGTACTCAATCTACTTTATTTTTTAATCTGCTCGTACCACCTCTATTTTTGGCATTTGTTAATAAATTTTATTTTAAAGTAAAACGAAGTTTACGAAGAGTTTTATTTTTATTAAACTTAATTTGATAAACTAACAATTACCGAACATTTTGGAATTAAAGAAATTTTCTCTTTATGAATTGGATAAAAATGAGAATGCAAACTGATCACAACAAAATAATGAATATAAATTTCCAGAACTACATTTCTAAAAATTAATCGAGAAATGTGTTTATATTAGGGACGTCACGGGTTCCAAAAAATTCTCCAAGACCCAACCGACTTTTCTTAATCCTCTAACTGACTCAATATGAAACGCGATCTGAGACGCGGACTTTTTCCGATCGAAACATGATCCAAAGGAAATTTTGATTTGAAACTTTCCTCAACCCGTGACATCCTTGGTTTATATATGGACAACAAATATCACAACCACCCCCACAATCTAATCCTCTACAATCTCAACCAGAGTTGTCACAGGCAGAAATCAGTTCAGAAACTAATGAGCAACAACAACAGATAACCCCTAAATATCTCAGACAATCTGTTAGGTGACAATCATTGCAACAATTAGCTAAAAATAAAAAAAATTTCATTAATTTTAATAAGAATTTTATCCCTAGAAAAAAAATAAAATATAGAATAATGGATTTGGATATTTTTGGTGCGAGACTTAAAACTGACAGGCGGAACCTAAATTAATGAAAATTTTTTATTATATAATTTTGTTAACACCCTTGAATATCTCCTCCATGAAGTTATATTTAGTTGATAAACTATTGAAATTCAGGCATTATTATGAGAATCAAGAAGCATTTTTTACCATAATTTCTGAAATTCTATTTCAAAAATTATGGTTTTGGAGACCTAAGATACCAATCGAGAGTATTTTATAATCTCGTGTCAAGATTCCCATTCTCTAATATAATTTCATTCTAATTAAAAAATTCGTACCGTAACTTCTAGAGCAACTAAAAGCTGGACATAGACAACAATTGAAAGGACAATAGCTATTCTCGTTTCGTTTATCGGCAAATTCGGCATATCTCGTTAATTGAGGTTGTTCTGTAATGCATTGTTGATGTAACATTTGAATATTTTTTTTTGGGGAAGGAAAATTTTTTAAAATGGTGGAATTTAAAGAATAAAAAAATTTCTTTATAAATTTCTTTATAATGTTTAATTTAATAGAGTCAAGTAGTCTTTTCAATTATAATCTTTATCAATGTCAATAAGAACAACTCGCAGCGAGAATTTATTTTTAAGTAAATTAGGCAAATAAAACAATTTAATATTTTAAACTAAGTGGAAACACTGAAAAACTTGTTGAGTTTAAATTAATTAAACCTGACAAGGAAAATGTTTAATTATAAACAAGTGAAATAATTGAAGGTTCTAAATTTCCCTCTTGTCACTAGAAAAATAGACTAATCAAAGTATAATGTCTCTATTTTTACGTAAACAAAAATTTTAAAAAAAATTTAAAATTTATCTAAAATTTTACATTTTTTTATTTTTAAATTTAAAAAATCCGAAAATTTCTGCAATCTGTCAGAAAGGCTGACAAATTACTTTAAAATTGAAAAAAATTTGTTTCCGCCAATAAAGTTATTATTTTTACTAAATGATAGTTTTATTAAAAAATAATATTTTAAGATAATAATAATCAGACCTGGTCACGGATACTGATCTTGGTATCCGTATCCGCATATTAGATTCGTATCAGGGTGGCCCCTTCCAAAACACTATAATAGGGCGCAGCCACTCAAAAATAGGGCAAAAATAGGGCGAAATCGGCCAAAAATGGGGCAAAAATTATGGCATAGCTGATGGTGAATCTAGGGTAATATCGAGAGACAAACTTATGGTAAGGTTCTTCCATTTTCAGCGCCGCAGGCAAAAATTTTTTGAATTTTGGAAGTCCTTAAGCCAGATTCTTCCTTTTTCAGCGCCTCAGGCGAAAATTATGAGAATTTTGGAAGACCAAGAAGCCAAATTTCTTCCGTTTTTAGCGCCGCAGACGAAAATTTTGAGGATTTTGGGAGGCTAGGAAGTCATAAATCCTTAATTTTTACCATTTTTCTTACAAAATCCGAAGAATTTTTAAAATTTTACAAGATGTTAAAAATAGGGCAAAAATATGGCAAATGAGAAAATAGGGAAAAAATAGGGCGAAAAGGTCAAAAATAGGGAAAATCCTCTATAAATAGAGTAAAAGGGCCACCTTGATTCGTATCCGCATATTAGACGGATACAGGTGGAGATTCGCAGGCATTTTGATATTGTCTGTATCCATATCCGTATCCTTGAACAGGAATAATTTTTAAATTTTTAAAAACCATCTTAAGATTAATCATTTTATCGTTGAAAAAAGATTTTACGAGGTAAAAATAAATCAGTAACTATGTAGTATATCTCTCAAATAATTCATTTTTTACATCATCTCGTTTAATTCTTATTACAAAAAATATATTGTCGTCTTTATTTTCATAAGTCAATCGAGCTGTGAATTTTACAGCTTCGATATAGACATTTTTATGTTCACAAACAGCTACTTTGTAGCCTGAAATCCTTTCAAATCTATTTGGTTGAATATTTAAACGTAAATTGGTTGCTCCTTCAAATATTATACAAGGCACTATTTTTGAAGGATTTGTTGATGTTTCGATATTCTGTAAATGAATAAAGTTTTAAGTTTATTTTGTGATTTGCCGTTTATTTTTTTCCAAATTCCCCGATAGTATACCGACCCGATTTACGAAATCTGGAATTTATTTTCTATGATGGCTATGTCCCTGAAATATGTATAGCATAAATTCAGAAGATTTCTAGATCGTGTTAAAGTTTAAGAGGTGAAAATAAAAATCTTGCGAATTCTCGTTAGAGATCGGACAAACGGCAAAATCAAATATTTGATCAAATAATTTGAAAATTATTTGATATTTGAAAAAATATGATTTCTACCAAACGTCATCAAACAAATATTTGATCAAATAAAATTTGATCAAATATTTGATTTTATTTGGCCAAATATTTGTTTGGTCCGATCTCTAGTTCTCATTGTCTCCCTATTCTATTTCGAATTAATATATATGTTAGGTACAGCTCTCTAATGGGTCCTTACAATATTTCCTTCTTAGAAATGTTCTATTAGTTAATAAATTTTGAAAGAACCCATTAAACCTACCCTCATAAGTTGATGGTAGACAGAGGAATCCTTAAGTTCATCAATATAAATTTCAGGAATTTTTAACCCTTCATTTAATAATAATTCCAATAAAATTTCTTTATATTCGGTTAAATTGTTGTAATTTTCATAAAATTCAATTTTAAATTTTTCAAAAATAAAAAGAAGATCACTAATAAATTTTAATTGTTTTTTGCCAAAAAAATCGTAAAAATAAAATTTAGAAATATTTTTAATTCGAAATTGAAGGGGAATTGTTTTGTCGTTTTCAAAAAGTAATTTAATCATTTCTGTATTAAATATAATTAAAAATTCAGCTTCTTCAAAAGAACAATTAAAAAGTTGTTCTAACCAAAAACGACAAAATTGCATTTGTTTAATATTTTTTGGATAAATTGGCAATTTTAATTTTATATTTTTGTCTAAATTTTAAATTAAAATTGAGAATTTTATAAAAAAAATTTTTTTTACTAAAATATAAACGAATAATAACATAATCTTGAGTTGAATATTGAATGGTATTTGGAAGGAAAAACAATGGCATATTTTCATTTATTGCTGTCTGCCACTATATTTTTTTTAAATTTATATTTAATAATTTTTCTTTTAATTCTTCTAAAAATATTTAATAGGGTTGTACCCCGAACGTTAGGGGCGGATATGTCAGGGTACGTTGTTTTCCAATATTTTAGGGCGCGGTTCGGGTCGGGGTTTCGGTATTAAGGCAAAAAATTTTTTAAGAAATAAATTTCGAAAAATAATATGCTTTTGGTCATATTTTCGTTAATTTATGCAAAAATAGGGACGATAAGGAAGGATTACAGGGATATAAGGGACTTTGGAGTGAGTAAGGGATATTTGAAGTGAATAAAGTGTACATCTAAGGATACATATAAGAGGATTTGGAGGGATTAAGGTTGGTTTCAAAAAATATCAGTGATTTATAGGGAGATTTTACCTTCCCTACAAGTTCATCATCTACATGCATATAATCAGTCATATCAAAAATATTTTCTTCCAAATTTTGTTCTACTTTAATCTAAAAAATATTTAATTTTTACAAACTAATATTTATTAAAATAACCATAGAAATTATATAAAATTCTTCATTTGCCAATATCCATTTATTTCGATCAATTAATAAATTAAAATAATTATTTATTTGTTTAATGTTGAATAATTGATCAAAATTGAGAAATTTGAAAATATCAAGTTGTGTTTCGATGGGTAAATTTTTCATCATTTTTAATAAATATTTTTAAAAAAATTTTTGTTATAAAAATAAAGTACATTTAAAAATATAGATAAAAATCAAAATAATTTTTAAAAATAAAAATTTATTAAAAATTAGTAAATTTAATAAAATATAATTTAAAAAATTAAAATACACTTCTATTTCATTAGAACAGACTAACTTAGCGCCAGTCAATTTTGATCAACTATTTGCCAATATCCATTTCAACCTAAGTGAATCGTATATTATTCTAAAGCACTCGATTTTTTCAACTAGATGGATCAGGTCTAATTGCTCATTAAAAACACCATATAGGTAATTGCAGCACCTGGTGGATCTTTTTAATGAGTTAACCCATCAGAAGGAAAAAATACAACTAATGGCTTTCGAATAATTCACGATTTACTCAGATATGATCAAGGGCTGTAAAATTATAGTCAATAAAAGTATCATTTCTAGTAATTTACAACTCTGATTTTAACAAAAAAAATCACAATGAATTTCTTTCAATCTTTATAGAACCCATAGTTCCATCATTATATTCAGTATAGTTTATACAAAACTTGATATTTTGATTAATATTATTTGAAAGTTTGTAGTTAACATAATAATTAAAATTACTATTACAAACTTTCCTTCTTTCAATATTTTCTGCATTTATATTTAAATTAAGTGGCCAACGCATGTCGTTAAACGAAATTGAGTTTGCCATATTTGTCAAGTCTTTTGATGTTTGGATATACTAAATAAATATTAATTTATAGAGACTGTCAAGACAGAAAATTTTCCAGAACTCAAAACTAATTTTTAGGAACGCTGGGGCAGATTAGCTCCGATTATTAATACCGTTTAAAGCCTTATCTCCAACTAAGTGTTTACTTAAGCAGGAATGAGCTGAGAACTCCATCATTATATTCAGGTCATTTGAAAGCCCTCGATTTTTAACTGAATTGAGAATATCGCATCTCTCACCCAATGACCCCATGAGGCCAGAATTCTTCTTTTTATGGTAAAAATCCCAACGGAAAACGTCCTCCTCGATATCACGTTCACATTTTTTAATTTTCGATTTTTTTTATCTTCCCCCGAAGATACCTCCTTCCACCGAAGATAGCTACCACAGATACCCCCACAAACCATCTTGATCCTTAAAAATTTGTGTAATTATTATATAATAATATCCGACATTATTTGATTTTCTCAATGAACTATGATAATTTTCTTACCTTAATAATCATTTTGAAAATCGTTGGTTCTCCAATACTTTGACAATAAACCTTTTTAAATCTTTGTCCTTCCTTTGTCAACAAATTTAATAACATATTTAAATTATCTTCCAAATTCCAAATTTTCAAAAAATCAATTATTAACCAATTCCCAACTTTTAAATAATTCAAAACAAAATTTAAAATATTTGGACAACTACAATAATTTTTAAAAGAAAATTGGCAATTGTAAAGAATATTAAATTGAGGAGGAATTTTTGAATCTTCAAATAATAATTTAATTAATTCTGGATTTATTAATTCAGAAAAATAAATAATTTCATAAGTACAATTAAATAAATGTTCCAAACAATTTTGAATAAATAACATTTGTTCTATATTTGATGGATAGTTGGGCATTTTTAAATAAGAATAACGATGGGTGTTGTTGCTATTAGCTTTAGAAATTAATACAATCAGACCTCTTTATAAGATATTATACTTGGTCGGACCCAGGGATTTTAATTATGTAAGTGCTCAATCCATCCCAGAAAATAGGAAAAGATCTGATGAAGATGCTCCCGAACGTAAATTGGAAGTCATAAGGAAATCGAGATCGATATTTCAGAAAAGATCTTTTTGCTAATGATCTCGTCTAGATCTCTCCATTATCCACTGTTATCCAAATTTTGCAAAAGTACTGGAACTTGAGGTGTATGAAAGGGACAAGCCCAAGATAACGGCTCAAAGCCATAACTTGCTTCAAAATTCCCTAATCTTAACAAATTTAGTATTAAAGGACTCCACTCATCGATCTAAGGAGAATGGTAACAATATGGTTGAGGACCAGAAACTTTCCAGTTAGTTATGGCTTTTCCCGTAATATCTTAAAATGGGATCTGACTATTTATATTAAAAAATTATTTAAACTCTTTACTTCTAGTCAAACAAAAAGCGAAAAATTTGATAGGTCTACGAAAATGCAAGAGTACTGGAATTTGGTTATTAATAGCTGATATCCACTGAAAATAATCAAAAATCTTTAACTAAAATTTATTTAACAACCTTTCTTTCAAGTTCAAAACTTGGAAATTTATTTAAAGATTTACATTTATTTTCCATTAAAATTTTTTGGTTGTTTTGGAATGGAATGTGCTAAAAGTAATTATTTTCTAGTTAAAAAATCCTATATTTACAATAGAAAGTTGGTTAAAATTCATACATGGCAATAAAAATTTATGTTGATTAATTAATATATAAAAATATTTATTGGTTTGTTGAACAGAAAATAATTGATAATTATTTAAATATTTTAGAATATCTAGTTTTACTTCACTTGGTAAAGCTTTCATTTTTTCTAAAAAGGATTTTGTGAGTGATAAATAGAGTTGGATATTTTAGTTTCCGACCAGGGTGGACTTTTCCATCTCACTTAGGGTTGCTGGCCCGGTCCAGTCCGAAAGATCGAGTCGGGCATCGAATTTTGGTCCGAAAAAGACTCGGTCGGGCCAGCCCGATAAAAATGACTCGAACGTCGGCCCGACTCGAAACGCTAACCCTAATCACATTAATACATGGCGTAGTCACTATAAAATGTGGCAAAAACATGGTAAAATTGGGCAAAAATATGGCAAAAAGGATTAAAAATATTATAATTATATAGTATATATCAATAACACGTATAATTATTGGAACACTGAAGTAAAAATTCAACTTAAAAAATAATTTTAAACTTTCAAATAATTTTTTAGAATCAAGGACTTAAATTTAAATTTTTAGTGCTTCCGAAAAGTTTTTAAACCACAAAGGTCCTAATAATGTCTGAATATCCAGAAACAATATCCCAATTCCTTTCTTTAATTTTATGCAGAATATATTGAAAGGTTTGTAAAATGAAGGAAATTTCCTTTAAATATATTTTCTCGTCTTGTACTCAATAAAAAGGATGCCAAGCTGTTTACTTTCACAATAAAAAGCTAAATGACCCTCACCCAATGGCACGAAAATAATTTTTCAGTGAATGGCGGGTAAGTGGAGGCAGAAAGAGGAAGGCAGAGTTCAGCTATGGCAATTAATAAAAATTTCCCTGGTAAAATTATGTTAGTGTAATCGTCTAGGAATATTTTGGAGTAATACCAATGATTTTTTTGGCATATTATTAGTTTACGTATTTAAGAAAGGTATTTTAAATTGAGGGTATCGTTAAATTGAGGGTAATTGAGGGTAACTTCACCATTGAACAACAAAATTTACAATGTCTAGTACTTTAATTCAGAACAAGATTCGAATGTATCCCTTATTTTAATATTTATCCAAAGGAAAGAAAAATTAAAGTACTCACTTATAAAAATCAAAACAAGTTTATCAAACTTAAATTGTTAGACATCATAATATATGAGAAAAATTTTGTTTTTTAAAAAATGAAATTTCATCAATTCATTCGCTTAATTTTAAATACTGAAATACGCTCAGATCCAACTGGAAACCACAAAGTTAATAAAAATTTGATTCTTGGATTGTGTTTATTAATTAATTCATATTTGACAAATTTAAAACGTTCATCTTGTGGAGGCTGATAATATTGATGTTGTTCTTTTTTAGTATATTTTTTGCTGCTTAAACTTTCTCCTTCATCAATCTTTTCAGCTTTAGATAGCAAAACGGGACGAGTCCAATAAATTGAATGAAATTTAATTTCACCAACCATCTTTGAACAATCAGTTGATGTTAAGGCATGCTTTTAAATGAATATTTTATTTTTTAAAAATTTTTATGTATGGTTATTCCATTCATATCAATAACTAGCATAATTTCAGTCGAAGTGATTTCGACTGAATTCTAAAACCCACATGAAAGTTGTAGAAATTTAGGGTTGTATATTTTTTATGTCAAGGAATTCTAGGTATATAAATTGAGTAAAGACGTAAACTACAAATATCCAGTACTTATGTGTATTGTAAAAATTTAATAAATTAAAATATTATACTTGAATAATTAAATCTCGCATTCTGAAAGAGTGACTAAATATAGAAGATGCACAATTAATATTAACTTTTGTAATTTGAACATCGCTATTTAACAAAAATTTTACAACATCTGTAAATTCCTAAAATGTTAAGGATTTGTTAATATTATAAATAAACTAAAAAATTATTTATTGTACTAAATAAAGTTCTTACAATCGGGACTAACTATGACATAATCTCAAGCTACCTAAATCTCATACATATTAATGGTTTTTCTACAATTTTGGTTTTGTCTACAGGGTGACCATTAAAGTCACTTTTTATGCCATAACTTTATTCAATTTACTATTATGGTTGCCCTGTAATTTGACTTAATGTTTCTTTTTTCTGCCCGAAAGGTGACCACACACACTATACCAAGTCCACCTGTATCTGTGATTAATTAAATATCACTCGAGAGAAAATTATAAAACCTACATTAACTCCCTTAACATTTAAACACAAATTTTTACACTTTTGTAAATGACCAGACGCAAAATTGAAAGCAGAATTATTATAATTCGGTTCGTTAAGCAATAAATAAGAATTTTTACAGTAAAATTGAATTAATTCTGAATCATCTCCAAAAATTAATTTAAGCATTTCCGGATTGAAAATAAAATTATCAAATCCTGTATGAATGAATCTACACGTCGAAAGTTGTTTTAACCAATAATAGGCTTCTCGAACTTGTTCAATTGTTTGGAGACGAAAAGGTATATTGATATAAAAAGAATTTGTTTGATAAAAACCCAAAAATCTATTCATTATTCTTTTTGCTGTAAAGATATAAATTGATCTTTATCTTAACGTTTAATAAGGTCTAGGATTCATAGCCATCCCAATCAGGGTCGGAACAGTCAGAGGTGTCGGAAATCGGAACTGGCTCAAAAGTCGGAACTCGGAAGGAAAAAACGTCGCAATCGGAATTCCGCCCTACCACTGATTCCAATTTATTTAGACATTGACTGGATTTAAAAATCATAAAAAATGTCTATTTAAACTATAATCTTTTCGTTGAAAAATAATAGGATAATATAAAACAAACATCGTTTCATTAAAAGAACGCGTACAGATTCAAGGTCTGATTGATAATTACTTTCATTATTGGAACTAATATAAATACAAAATTGTTTGAATTTCCCATTTTTAAGCAAGTTCGACCACTAAAACAATGAAAAAATTAAATATGTATCCCCTCTAATTAAATGTCCCGTTATTCAATAGTTGGATAAAAATCTTTTTTTAAACCTTATTTTCACGTCCAGTATTGTTTAATGGAATTTTTGGTGTGTATAATTTGTCTATATACAAATTCTTTGCATTATCGGATAAATTTTTTAATGTTAAAGAATAAAATTCTTTTTTGGGCAATTCTTCTTTATATTTATCAATAATTGCATTAAATTGACGATTTGTCCGTTTAACAGAATATACAGATTCGTAATTAAGATATTTAAGAATTTTAAGTTTTAATTCAACAGGAAGGCTTTGCATTATTTTCTTAGGCTGAAATTTCGATTTGGAAATAAATTTTAAAGTATCTATGTGTAATTTGGTTCCTTTAAAAGAAAATGAATATACTTAAATGTAAACAATCCCTAAAATCAAACAAAGTTTATTTGTAAGTTTAATATGGCAAAAAATATTTATATTTGAATGAAAGCCACGCCCCTTTTTCAATTATTTTTGTGAATATTTTTTGATTTAAAACAAGTCATCTGACAGTTTTGTTATTTTTTTGTTTTGTATTATTTATTCTCTTTGTTTTTTATCCACTAACCGTTTTATTCGTCTTAATTTAAACAATAATTTAAAAAGGGGCGTGGCTAATATTTTTAACCTAAAAACTTTTCAAAAAATATTTGCTTTTGTTTACGGACTGTTTACAATTAAATATTTATTTTCATTTAAAGAAATTTTTATTTGTATTAAGTTTTGTTTATTAATCGTATTTTTAAATTTTTTAAAAAAATTTACACATGGGGTAATATAATAGTATACAACAAACGACATTTGGCCATAATGTTTTCTATTTTATTCCACTCCTTCAGTTCTTATCGTAGCTTTGTGATCAAAATATTTTTTGATTGATCACTAACGGATTTTTCTCGAAATTTACCTTTCCAATTTTGATATTTCTCTTTCAATTTCTGATATATTTTCGATTTTTTGTTCAGAACAGCTTTGCCACCTCATTATTTTGTATCAAACCTCATAACCTTCAAAATATTCGAGATGAAAAATATCTGAATAATAATTTGGCTAATTTTAGATCCAAAGGGTATTGTTAAATCTCAAAAAATGTATTTAAATTTTCCTGTTGAAACAAAAATTGATATTATTAAATGTCTCAACTTTAATCAAATGACTGTTATCCAACAAATAAATCGGCACTTTTTCGAATTAATTAATAAATACTTGAAAGAATTACCAAGACAAAAATTTTCCACTATGCAAATAACTAGAGGTGAATATACTGGAAATATTATAAAACCAGAACCTTTCAATTTTGAAATGAGTGAAGAATTGAATAGAAAGGTAACAAATACAAGTTACAACATATATTTTTTCTAAAATGTTAGGTTATATTAGGGTTGTCGTTCCTTAGAGAATCTTCAGATGGCTGAAACCAGGCCAAAGAACCGACTGAAAAATCCTCTATTTTTAGGTCTTTTCCTAACCAATAACCCGAGAGGTCATTTTTTAAGCTTACAAACTAGACGTGCTCTCTTAGTATAATTCTTAGTGTGAAGATTCGCCTAAATAGTAAGGGATTTTTAGGAGAAAATAATCATGATAAAATTTCAACCCATTTAGGGAATGCTTTTTCGATTCCTTTCTTTATAGTCATTATCTGAAGTTAATTTAGTTTTTTTTATTTTAGTGGTGCTCTGCAATATTTGGCAGGGTTTTTATTTGCTACAGCTATAAAACTTTGAAAGCATTCACAATTAAATTTAAAGAGAAAGGTGGGAACATTAAATTTTAGTTTTGTTATAAAATTTTGAAATTCATAAAATTTCAAGCGTATCTTATTTTTATGAACGTCACTAGCGTTAAACTACACGCCCAGACGAGTCACGTAAATTTTTGTCTTGAAAATTGGGCTCCAGGATTTTTCGGAGTTTTGGAAAATGGGCTCTAAAAATTCATAATTTTGGTTACTAAATTAATTAAAAGGATCAAAATCTATTAATAAAACTTAAATTGTGCATATTTAGGCTGTAAACCTATTTACCTTTATCTGCCAATCTACCCAAAAAACACTTTGGACATGCAAATTCTTTATTGTGTATTTTATCAGCTTTCACAGTGCTTTTTTGAAAAAATTGAATTTGACCGTGTTGTATTCAATCCCAAAATTTTTGAATTACTTTATGATTCCGATAAACCAATTCAATTTTTGTGTGGAAATATTCTTCAATTAACTCTCTGCAAACCTTTATTCGACAAAAATGCTTTCAAACTTTTTCAAAAAAATTTATCAATTTCTGGAATTGTTAGTGTTAATGCCTTTTCAAATCATCGTTTATACACCCAAGAATATGAAAAAATAATTTTAGAATTTTTGTTGAAAGGAGGGGATCAAATCCCTCAAATTGCAATTAACAGCTTGACATTAGAGATAAATTACTTTGATAAACTTATAAATGTGAGTAAAATACTTTAATTAAACTAGGGTTCTTGTCCCCTTTTATTTGTTGAAAAACGCCTACCGTATTTTCTCGATTAATTCCCCTGAGGAATTATTTTTTCAACCCTTCCTTGGCATGGGGAATTAATCGAGGGAGAGAAATTATTCGAGGGAGGGGAATTAATCGAGAAAATACGGTATTTGTTAAAAAATAATGTTTTTCAGGTATCCAATTTTTTTTTCTTGTTTCTTAAAATAGTCCCAAATTTTTGACATTTTTTCGAAAGCAGATTGAAAATATTCTCGGTTCTCGTGACAAAATACGAGATACGAGACTAAACCCACCCTTGTTCTGTAGCTTTATCCCTACCAGGGTTCTTCTGGTATAAAAAATTTTCAACTTTAGGGATCATTCTGGCTCTTCTTTATTAGAATATAAATAATAATATTTAAAAGATTCAAAAATTTTAGCACACAAAAACATCCTCTGACATTCGTAAAATGATAGCAGATATCGACATTAGATCCATTCGATGTTTACGTCCAAATATGATTGATAAAGCAACGAAGATTAAGGAAGGGAAAAGCTTCAATGAAGTTGACAAAACTAGCTGTATTTACTACAAATACGAGATTTCTAATTTGCATAATAAAAATGTAAAGTTTTTTATAACTCTTTGGCAACCTTTAAGCTTTACTTTTTTTACTCGTTTTCAAATTAAACGTGTTTTCAAATAAACATTTTTTATAATTTAATTTTTAAAGAATTATTTTCCGATTATTATTGGAAGAAAAATGTTTATTTGTTCAAACTTCAATACTATGTATTTTTTTTCATTTATTTTTATGTTTCAATTAATTTTTGATTTATTAAAATAATTTACTCCATATTAACGGTATATTCTAGTTTGTATATCTTTTGGAGTTATGAATAAATTTGAAATTTGAAACAAGTTCACAGTTACCGGCTCACACTTTAGAAAACGAGGATGGGATTTATAAAATGAAACTGGCCATTCTTTTGAAATTAGAGAAAAAATACTTTAAATGACCTACTTAAATTTATAAATATATCAGAAACTATTCTGAGAGTACCTATAATAACAATATTTTTAAACTTAGGTGACTAATTGTTTGGTCGCTTATCCTAGTTCGAGTTTTGCCGAGAGAGTGTTTTGTTTAATACAGCTGATAAATTTTCTTTGTTTTATCTACTGGCTAAAGAATGATTAAATAAATAATCAACAATTTTTAAAATTTAAAAAAATATCTACATATCATCATTTTTTCTTTTCCAAAATCCTTCAAAAAATAAAATTTCATCGGTTTACTCCAAGAGCCAAAAAGGTGTAGTACTAGTGATATGGAGGTTGATTTAAATAATTTGCTGAGTTATCTTGGTATGTTGGATCAGTAGGTGCGGTGGCACCGTGAGGAAGCGTATAATATCCTGGCGGCATTTGCACAGGATTGCCAATAAATGGATGACTGCCAATAAACGGATGAGCAGGGTAAGAGTAATCTATGGGAAAGTTCCCATGAAGTGGCCCAGGCATTGGATTAACTATTGGTTGATAATGAATGTTGGATGGTGGATAAATAGTTCCTTGCATGTACGCTTGATGAGGGTTATGGACATGAGGGTCATAGACGGTTTGGAAATTCATGCCATGTGGAGGCTGAACAGAAGAAGATCCTCCATGATGACTAAAAATTAAAAAAAAAGACTAATTAAACAGAAAATTTACTGCGGATTTTTAGGTTGTTTTGAGTGACTACTAGAAGAGCCAGAACGAAGTGATTTATCTTTCGTAGATTTCTGTCGACCAGTTGAGGCTTTAATTTTAAAGGAAAAAAATTATTTTTAAATTTAGGTTATTTCCCATTGTGTAAGGTCTATCAATAATTAACCTCTATCAATAATTATATCTAAAACCCCTTACAATTCGGAAAAATTGCATCGTTAATCATCTCCTTGATCTCTTTATCATCCGGATTTATACCAAGTTCATTAATAACATCTTTCGTTACGGCTAAAATTAAAATTTTATTATTTTATATAAATTCTGTAAATATTTATGTTGATAAAAGAAATCCCGATCAAAAGAGAAGGTTGGAGAAAAGCTATACTTCTAGTAACTAGTTGGTTACTCAGTCAGTTAAGGACCCATCTAGAGATCGATTAAGCGGTATATCCCACAAACCCTATTGAAAAACATTCAAACAAGGCATCACAACCTATTCATTCAAAGCTAGGTTTATAAGCCGAATAAATGAATGAAATATCATTTTTTATTAATTTTTTACATTAACCGGAAATAATTTTAAAAAACAAACTATCTGTTAATAATAATTAAACTAAGCTCTTTTAATTAAAAAATTATTTACAATTTGCGTGCTCTAGACCTTGTTGAATTTTCTTACGTCGATGTCTACGTGCTTTAGTTGCAGAACTTCCTTCTCCTTTTGTTTCTTCAATCATTCCTTTATCTTAAATTTTAATTTTCCCTTAACTTCCTTTAAATTTGTAATTTGTGTTGTGTCCGCACTTGCAGAAAGAACATAAATGAAAATAAATAACCCAACATCGGGTTGGATGGTGGCACAGTCGGTTGTGCTTACGGTTTGGGCTCATTCCTTGATGGTTCAATTCCATCTCCCATCCACAATTTTTCCACAGCATGAGAACATCGTATACAATAATGGTGCCACGACCCGTCCAGGCTTAGCCTGAGGAAACTTAAGCGAACCGTCAAATGCTGTGATGATCAGACATACTTTAACTGTCTAGAGAAATAAGGAGAAGACCCTGTGAGTATCGCCTGAGCTGTGTGCTGGCAGAAATTAGAAGCGTAAGACTCTGTGTGAGCAGCCAGAGAAAGCGTAAGACTCTGTGTGAGCAGCTAGAGAGAAGCGTAAGACTCTGATTGAGCAGCTAGAAAAAAAAAATGCCACAAATGGGTTTCTGTGTGTGCTCTCCCAAAAATCGAAAACAGTTGTAGTTATTGGAAGACAAGCAACAAGCGAGGACGCTTGGTTTCGCAAGGCGGAAGGAGTGTTGTGTCCGCACTTGCAGAAAGAACATAAATGAAAATAAATAACCCAACATCGGGTTGGATGGTGGCACAGTCGGTTGTGCTTACGGTTTGGGCTCATTCCTTGATGGTTCAATTCCATCTCCCATCCACAATTTTTCCACAGCATGAGAACATCGTATACAATAATTTGTTAATTTTCAAGTTTCAGATTCTTAGTACATATCAGTTTCACAAGTTATTAAATTATTTGTCAGGTTAATATGTCCACCTCTAGGTATGAATTCTTCAGCATTTGGATTCAAAATTCGATCACCCAAGGTTGAAGCAGAAGCATTAGAATGTTCAGTTTTAGTAGTTGATTCTTCGTAGCTTGTTATTTTCTAAATAATTTGCCAATGGCGTAAAAAATTGTTTAGGATAAGTCAAGGAGTTAAAATATTTCCTTAGAAATAATTTCATAGAACATATCTTTTAAGATAATATTAAGAATTATAGATAAATTATAAAACTATAATTATTTTTGGAGCAGATATCGTAAGGTATCGAAATGTATTGGTAGGGTTATACATATAATCCTGAAATCAAACAACATATTTCTCACCTTGTTGCTTCCTTGTCTTATGATATCTCCAAGTTTCTTTCGTCGGGCACTGCGCGAATGAGTTCTTTTACTTCCTAAAAAATTAAATTTTGGCAATATAAATAATCGGCTTTATTATAACGAAAACTCGAAAGTATCATCGAACTTTTATATAAACAATATTGTCCTGGCCTAGATAAATAGTATGTATATTATCTATACTTATAGGCTAGATAAAAGAATTTAAAGTTTTTTCAGTTTAAAAAGTTAATTTTTATGATAAATTTAACCTGTTCTTTCAGCAGCTACTTGGCGACTACCTAAACTTTCATTTAAATAATTTATAAGTAGATTAGAAAATTTCAAAGAATTTTAGGTAATTATTATGCATTAGGGCACAGATTCTTCAATTTTTCAAGAATTTCAGAGCAGAGTTTTAAGAAATAAGTCTGCGGCGTTGGAGCTTTCTAGTTCGAAATTCGAGTTTTATTTAGCTTAATCGGGATGGGATTTCCAAGTTTTGCTTAAAAGTAACCTCCAGTGGAGCAAAACTCGCTATGGTCCCGAACAACCCTGACTACCATTTTATAATTATCCCAGATCAGAAACAGAGATCTAAATTTGTTTTTCCTACTTTATTGCCCTTATTTTATTTAGACTCGGGAATTAAACAAAAATTAATTCGTTTGTTTAATTGAGATTTCGAAAAAAAGAAAATATAAGGATATGTAGCTATAGTAATATAAGGATAGCTAATATAAAGATAAGTTTAGAGATAAATTCAAAGAAATTTTCCAAGAACTCATAAAACGCGGAAACACTTTTTTACCTCCTACAGACTTTCTTTGAGGATTCTCTAAATTCTCAATATTTCCAGACAGACTCAATTTCGTTGCAAAGTCTTCGGATATCTTATTCCCAGCAGCTTCAACTTTATATTTAACATTAAAAAATAATAAAAATAATAGAAGAAATTCAAACAATTTCATTCAGTTTTTTCTTTAATTTCTTTAAATTTAAATTAACAAATTTAAAATTAAAAAAAATTTAAAATTAAATTAAAAAAATTTAAAAAATCAAATAAAAATGCTATAGCCAATAATATAGGGAATAATTTACACGTAAATAAAGCAAGAAAAAAATCGAAGCCTCTCTAAGACCTCGTCTAAATAAAAAATCGCGCACGCATTGCGACAGAAAGGATAACAGAAATGAGGAGGGCAAGTCGCCCGCGATTTTGTCTGCCCTTCTTTTGAATGATATTTCCTGTCGTAAAACGCAAAGCTACATTTATGTAAACAACTTCAATGTTGTGTTAACATGAAATTTGTTTTGCATCTCGCAATCAACAATAGTGAAAGCGATATTTGAACCTTTTGCGTCATAGTTATAAATTATGAATTCTTTTGGGTTACAAATTATGATTAATTGTAAGGAAAAAATTCAGATTGGGGCACCAAACAAGTGTCTTTAATGAATTTACAAAAAGGACAGATGTCCAAGATGTTGTCCAAATCAGAAACGAAGATCAAAACAGACATGTTTATGTTTGAAAAACACCCTTAATTCTCTTAAATTATCTACATTTATTTATTAATTAAAATTTCTATCCAAAAAACACTTAGGAATATGTATGTAGCAGAAATTATTTACTGTGAATTAGGGCTGGGCGAAATAAAAATTTTTTTATCTCGTTCCGAAACGAAAGGGAAAAAATGACACGAAAGAACGAAACGAAATTTCGCGCAGCATTGCTGTGAATGGATAAAAAGCAAAAGACTATAGAAAGTTTTTTTATTTATTAATTCTTCTCGTTTTACAAATATGAGTTATTTAACAATATTTGCTTATTAATTTTAATTGGTTGCCCAATCATTATTTTAATTATTCGTTACTTTTCCTTTTGTTCATTTTATAAAGCACGAATGGCCCCATCACACGAAATTTGGCAATATCTTTGCATAAAATCTTTAATACAACTTTTATAACATCTGTCTGTGCGATCCTTTGAACACCGTCCATCACAAATTTTGTTTACACAATTTCGAAATCGTCTACAACTTGCGATAATGCAATCATCACATTTCTTAAAAAATTTAATTATTTAAATTTTTTCTGTTTATTTTTTAATTTAGGGGTAGGACGTATTGAAGAAAAGGTTTGGTCTGGTTACGAGTCGGTGATTTCGAAATTTTCTATGGATTGGCTCACGGATCGGCGTTTTCGAGTGACCCGTTTCATTCTTAATATCAGTGTTGCCGCCCGAAACCCGATACCCGAAAAGTAAATTTTCCAACCCAATACCCGTACCCGAAGATTTTTTTACGCGCGGCAACACTGCTTGATATGCATCTAATAATTAAATTTAAAACTAAATATAACAATTTACATTAGCATTTCCTTCAATCGCAAAGAAAATAATTATCATAAATATATTAATAAGAAAAAGAAAAACAAATTTTTGGAGAGACATTTTAATTGATGTATTTTTTGTATAGTTTAATTAAAATTTGATTTAGTTGAACAAATTTAAATACTATTTAATAAATATATTTAAATAAAAATTATCACTAAAATTATTTCCTTATTGAGATTTTTATTTAAAATGAATACATTATTTTACGTTCCCCTAAGAAAACGTTTTTCTTTTTCTTCAAAATTGTTTAAATTCTTCTAGCCAATACTATCTCCAGAAGTCTAATAAATTATCAAAATTATTTTCAAATTTATTCAATTTAATAAACATTTCTTAGATAATTTAATAGGGGGTATTCCAAAGCTGAATATTTGTTGCCACTTCAAAACTAATGGAAAGTGGTACACTCTATAAAGTGTTCAGAGCATTCTTGTGTGAAAAATTGTTTTTTTTTTGAAAAAACAAACAGAGGATTAAGATATAGATTCAATTACATAGTACTTTATTAATTTCTATAGAAATTTAATTTTATGAAATATTAAGAAATTATATTAATTAAATAACTATTATAAATTGTTTTATTTTATATTAAATTTTGTATTCTAATTAAATTTTTTTAATTAATGTCCAGTCCAGTTAATGTCCAGCCAAAGCAGAGGTGGGTCGGAATTCCGAGTTCCGACTTCCGATTTCCGATTTCCGACGTTTTTTTCCTTCCGATTTCCGATTTCCGAAATTTTGGAAAAATTTCCGATTTCCGAGAATTTTTGAAGCATACTTCCGACTAGAGATTTTTCCAAAATTCTCAAAATTTGCGCCTGCGGCGCAAATATTCGAAGAAATCTAACTTAAGGCCCTCCAAAATTCTCAAAATTTTCGCCTGCGGCGCAAAAAATGGAAGATTTTTGACTTAAGGCTCCCAAAAATCCCAAAAATTTTGCCTGCGGCGCCGTAAATGGAAGTTGAATAGTATATCGGAGGATTAGGTTAGATTAATGTGGACTTTGAGTTATATCGTGTGATTACGAGGGGTCATAGGCTCTATCAGTCCTCAATTTTAAACTCCAAATATCCCTATTAATTCTATAAATTCTCTGATATCCCGTCTAATCTACCAAATCCCACAATATCTCTTTTAATCTCTTCGAATTTGACTTTTGAGTTGCAAAAAAACTTTTACACCCTCAAATTACACTTAAGAAGGCCCATAATTTACCACCTTACAATTTTAAATAAATTTCAGTTATGAAAATAAAAATTTTATTTCCGATTTCCGCCTTCCGATTTCCGATTTCCGGCGTTTTTTTCCTTCCGATTTCCGATTTCCGAAAAAAATTTTGATTTCCGATTTCCGAGTTCCGACTTTTGAGCCATTTCCGATTTCCGACAGTTCCGATTTCCGACACCTCGGGCTGTTCCGACCCACCTCTGAGCCAAAGTCAGAATTTTTTCTTAAAACCCTTTCCGAACGGTGTCTGAGTACAACGTCGAGGTACATCTATAAATAGCACTATACTAAAAATATTTAATAGTACTAAAAATAAAAAGAATATAGGCAAATGTGTACACAGATGCTAAAATGTACAATTTTTTATTACAATTAAAATCAGCTAAATAAGCGTAAATTTATTCTTATATTACTATTTTTTATATTAATTTATTCTTATATTACTATTAATTTTTACTTTTTTTAAAAAAATTTCACGCATGCTTTAAATTTATGATTTTTTTTTATTTTTATTTTATTATTTTTTGATTAAAAAATTTTATTTGTACTTATGTCAATTTTTGATTAAACATATAAAAACTTTTCTTAACTTTACATACTATTTCAAAAAACAGGGGGTGATTAGGGTCGACCAAATTCAGACAAATTTATTCCGAAATACGCATTTGCTCATTTAATTTTTCATCTCTTTCTTTCAATAATAAATTTGTTAGTTGTCCAAATTCTGAAGAATAAAATGATGAGCCAACTAAAGGTTAATGTTAATATAAGGTATAATAATTATACACTATATTAGTATAGTTACCTATAAATAAAAGAGAGAAATCCTTAAATTTTTGCGAAAATCCTACGAATCCTAAAGAACTACGAAAATCCTAAAATTTTGGCTTGGAAGGTTATCCGAGGGGGGGGGTGAGCTCTCGGTATGAATCTACATAAGAAATTTGGCGTTTTTTGGACTAATCCAAAATTAAAAAAAAACATTAACCTTGATGGAGTGGAGGAAAGTTTTGATCATTAAAATGTGGACCATTATTTGTATTTTTTCTGTCCAATAATTTATCAAATCCAAATGGATGATTAAAAGGATCATATTGTTTGAAAGCAGGCTGAGTATTACTTTGTAAATGTTGGGGATTATATTGTCTTGCATGTGGGTTTAGGTATTGTTGTGGATTAATTGAGTGAAAGTGGGAGCTTGTTGTATAATAATGAGTTGGGAGGTTATGAGGAGCATAAAAGGAACTAGTAGAAGCAATTGCTGGGATGTTCCGTTGCTTAGATAATTTTAATAATATTATTTCATACATAAATAGTGTAAGTAAGAGAAAGAGTCACTAGGCGGTGGTTTTGATCTATTAAGAGAGAAGGTGAATGCTGCGTCCCGGTAGCTCAGTTGTTAGAGCACCACCTGTACGTGGTGAGCGAAAGCTCCTAGCAATAACTGCCAGTAGGTCGCGGGATCGAAGCCTGCCCGGGATTAAACTTTTACCTCGCTCTTACTATACTGTTATTAAGGGTTTTATGATTATTTTGATTAAGGATTTAAGTCGGTGGGTGAAGGTCTTAATTAGAGCTTAGCCGGTTATCCATTACAGGTTAATGCCGGTTATCCGTTTTTTCATATATGTAATTTTGAATTAAAATTTTTCCGAATCCTAAGATTAATTTAACAAATTAATAAAATTTAATATCCAAAATACCATATAATTAATTGGGGATTGCCATCCTCCTTGGTAACCATGAAATGAATTTTGCCTTAAAATACAAATAAATATATAGTAGAGCTTATGTAAAAGAATTATTACATTGGATGAAAATCAACTGGTTGATTATGAACATAATCACGTTTATGAAAGTTTTGAATATATTTTTGTGGAATTGATGATCCCCCTGCTGATGATCCCCATGGATTTGTCGTATTTGTACTAACAACTCTTTGAATTCTTGAAGAACTTTCTTCAAAATTATTTTTACCTCTATAATTATCCAAATTCTTAATTTTTATATTTAAACGTAATTTAAATAATTTATTAACCTTTTGAACATTTGGAGGATTGTAGGGAACTTTTTGTTTTTCTTTAAGGGGATGAGGGGAACATTTGTTTTTTCACAAAAAATTTTTCCGATAAGAACCTTTAGTACTTTTTTGTTATACGACTGCAAACTGAGTGCCAGACGACTTTGATAGGCTATAACTTTTTTGTGCTTGATCAATACAAATTAATTTTGTAATTCTGATCACTCCTTAAAAGGTTTCTGATCACTCCTCACTCTATACCCGATAAGTTAAACTGTTGTTATCTGACGTTTTTCACATTTATCGTGTTGTAATTTTTTAAGGAGTGATCAGATTTGATCTATCCTATTTGAAAAAAGATATCTATTTTAAAAAAATATCGAGGGTTTTCGAATGATACAAATTTCATTTGCATTGGATCAAGCGCAAAAAAGTTATAACTCAGTTAGATTAAATGTAGGGTGTCGAAAATAATTTCTAAAAAATTTTCGGTAAAATTAATAAGCAACAAATGTTCCCTTTTGAATTTCCATAAGAACAATTCTCGTCTACGTTTTTATTTTTGATTTGAATATTAATTTCATCAATTGAGATATTTTTACATTTAATATCTTTCCTTCCAATTTTAATCGTTACTTCTTGGCCAAATTTGTTTTTGTCGTCCTCTACAGTTTCTTTAACCTCATCTTTATTTTCTAAATAAATTTGGTTAGAAAGGTCGGAAATTTAAGTTGATAGACAGAATTGAAAGAATATTGGACACCGAAGAGGTGCTGATTATTGCTTAAAGTTAATGTCTGTTATATAAAGCTGAACGGTTGTTGTCTATAATGATTCATTGGATTGGAGATGGAACTAAACCATCATGGAAAGGGCCCAAACTGAAGCACAACCGACTGTGCCACCATCCAACCCGATGATGGGTTTACTTTAGTCAATTATAAAAAAATAAATACTCGATAAAAGTTGTTTCTATTTATACTCATTTTAGAGGTAATCGATAGGACTTTAAAATTTATAATAGACAAAAATTAATTTAGGGTTCGTACGTCGAGGAAATTAAGGAAGTTTACTTTTTAAGCTCTTGCTTCCATACTTTTTTCCACCACTGTATATTCTTTTCTGCAATTGCGGACACAACATGGTCCAGGACTGTTTGGAAGACTTAACTTAATAATAAAACTAGAGCCCGGACCGTACCGTACTACGGCCGTATTTTTCGGTATTTATCGGTATTCCGTATCGGTAGTACGATACGGAATACCGACCGATAAAATTTTCAAGTTTATCGGTATTTATCGGTATCGGTATTTTTCGGTATTCCGTATCGGTAATACGGTACGGAAAAACTAAAATACCGATAATACCGACCGATGAAATTTTTCAAAATTTTATTATATTTTAAGGTAAAAAAGGCTTCTTGTCGATGAAAATTCTAAAAAAATTTTGCCTGCGGCGCTATAATAGGATGAAATTCATCTTCTTGGACTTCCAAATTCTCAAGATTTGGAAGTCAAAATTTCAAAATCAGAAAAAGTAAGATATCTTTTTCCACAGCTATCTTTTTAAATCTTCTTAATCCCATTAATCCACTTATATCCACAATAATCAGCATATTTCCTGATCAACTATAATAGTACAAATTTATCGATATTACCCTTAACACCATATACCTCCTTAATCCCTCAAAATCTACCTATATCCCTCTAACTACTCAGATATCCCTTCAAATTCATATTAATCCCTGCGAATACCCAATATACGACTTTATCCTTACAAATTTTTATATAAAAATAATTAATTTTTACTGAATTAATTTTTTAAAAATACGGTACGGAATACCGATCAATTTTTATCGGTATTTATCGGTATCGGTATTTTTCGGTATTCCGTATCGGTAATACGGTACGGAAGAATTTTGAAATTCATCGGTATTTATCGGTATCGGTATTATACGGTAGTACGGTACGGAATACGGTACGGTACGAAATTCCGGGCTCTAAATAAAACCTCATTTTTCGATTTTTTCAACAGACTACTCGTTGTGTAACACAAATTTATATCCAATGAATCTTTGGGAAACAAAAAATTTTTTAAACTTTTACCATGCAGCCCTCTATTCCTTAGTTTCTTTCTTCTATTTCTCCGTTTTTTGCTTTTCGTTTCGTGAAAAATTAAATTTTCATCAGTTTCAGATTGTTCATTAGATTTACTTGATTCTTCAATCTTCAATTTATTGTCAACTTTTATTTCTTCATTTTTAGATATCTTTTTTGTTTTATTTTTGCTTTTGTGTTTAAACTCAGGCTCTTCAGGTTCTATTGGTTTTTTACCTTTTTTATCAATCACATCCGAAGTTGGAGTTACTTTAAAAAATATTTTCTTTAGTAAAAATTAAATTTATAAGGGGAAAAAATGAAGTCTCAACTCGGTAGAGGTTTTAGATTTTTATCAATTTTTTGATTCCTGTCTCGAAGACAGTCTAAAATTCCTGTCCGAAGACAGTCCTCTATCATTATAAGTCTTTTCTTTATTTTTAAGAACCGATTTTAAAAAAAAAAATTATTCCTGTCTGCACAGCATCTTAACCTGTTACTTTTAGCCGTTTCAGTGGCACTGAAATAAATAAAAATACTGTATCTTTTTCTTTTCCCCACTATTTCTTTCGCGTGCTATTTTCTAAAGATTTGGGGGTTGCAATTTCGAGAAGCTTAATCTCGAAAAAACTCCTTTTAAAGCAAAATTTTATCCAACCCAAATCATGAAACGAAGTCTTATCTTCGTTTTAAAACCAAAATTATTGATTTTTACCATGTTTAAAAAAAGTTAACCATGGGTTTGTAACTAAATTTAGAAAATGAAAAATAATAGTAAAAAATTATTTTGAAAAAATTTATTTTAGTTTAAAATGACATTAGATGTTATTAGAAAAGATATTATTAGGATTTCCTTATTATATAATTCATTTTCACTGGAAGGGTTCGAACCTCCCCCATATTTCGCTTTAAAGTGGGCGCACTAACCAACTAAGCCATATTCCCGCACTGAAAGGCGAGTAACAGCCTCTGCCTATTTTAAGATGCTGTGTGTCTGAAGACTGTCTAGGTATGTAATAAAAAAAGAATTCTAAGGATAAAATAAAGTCCTTTTAATTAAATAACGAATCCCAGTTTTGTTAAGTAATTTTAAGTGAAAAAAGAAAGGCTAATTGGTTTTAACAAATACCGTATTTCCTCTAATACAACCCCATGGGGCTGTATTTTTCAACTATCCTCCAGATTAGGGCTGTATTAGAGAATCGGGCTCTAATTGAGAATGGGGCTTTATAGGAAAAATAAGGTATACTAGTTCGACTATTTTTTAAATTTAATTTTGTTATAAATTTTTGACGACCAAAAATTATATTTTACATTACAGAAGTTTAATTGGCCAAATTTCTGTTGTTTTTAACTTAATATCTTTATTTTACCTTTATCATTATTTATCTTTTCTTTATTTTTAGGACCTGATTTTTTGAATTTTTTGACATTTTCTAATTCATTATTTACATTAATCTCTTGATTTTTTATTTCTTCAGGCTTTTCGTTTGTTTTACTAAATCCTTTAAACATCATTTGACCTCCGTCAACATTTTTGATATAATTCAAAATTAATAAAAATAAAATAAAAATTCCAAGGAATTTTGGGTTGATCATTGAAAGCTTTGAAAAAAAATTATAAGTTTACCCTATATTAATAGTTTTAGTTAATGTTGAGTTTGCTTTTAATATTTCAGAATTAGAAAAAAAAGTCACATTAAAAGGATTTGAAGGGAATTATTTTAAAAATTTTAAAAATTAGACAAAATTTGATATAAAATTTTCGCTCAGAGCGCGAATGCTCTTTGATGAGCCAAAATAACAGATTTATGGCTTAAAGACCTTAAAACAGCGCTAAAAATTTAAATTAAGATGTCTCTGGCTCCAGAAAATCTAAAAAGAGACTTTTAATTTTTTGCGCGGTTCTCAGATGCGAGAGAGAAAAATAGTCTTATAAATTTTTTGAAACTATATACGCGAAACAGTCTAATAAAAAGAATTCTTAGGATAAAACAAAGTCCTATTAATTAAAAAACGAATCTTAGTTTAATTTCAATTAAAATAGAAAGATAATTGGTAAATAGGGCTTAGATTTTCAGGTTGTAAAAACTTAAAAATAGGTACATACCTAAATAGGTTGAAAAAACTCAAAAATAGGTTGCCAAAACGGAGAAATGAATTGCAAAAATGAAAAATATGTTTCAAAAAAGGTCGAGATAATGGGAAAAAAGGAAAAACTCTCAAAATATGTTAAAGCCTATTTTAGGTTGTAAAACGCCAAAATAGGTTTCAATAGGTGACAAAAACTCAAGAAACAAAAATTTTCAAAAAATAACGGATTTGAGCGTATTTCATCATGATTCAGGAAAAGATATGTAGATTAT